AACTGAAGTGAAACCCAGCTTATCAAAAGCATTCATCTTTGTTCAGCTTTGCCTATTTTATGGGAAATCAATTTTTATTAGAGAGAAGCACTCCCAATAAGAACCAGATGAGAGAAATGCAGGACAAAGCAGCTTGCACATAATCCCGAGGTAGCCAGGGATGCTCACTGGGGCTGGCAGTGTCAGGGCCCGAGTCTCCCTAACTTTAGGAAAAAACATAATCTTTTATATATTAGTTCAACAGATTGGCTTTCGGATTCCCTCCTCTCCTTTTTGGCACCGGTTGGTAAAACAAAAATAAGTTATTCTTAGAGATTGCCTTTTGAAATTTAATTTTAAAATTAGTGTTACTAAAAGAACTAAATGCACAAATACTTTCCAAAACTTATGGGAAAAAAAAAAGAACTCTTCAATTATTACCATCCACAGAGCCAAAAACTCTGTGGATTGTCTCCTTGATGTCATTAACATTCTGATATGCTTTCTGATCTCACTAATTCTAGTAAATATAATCATTTCCTTCCATTCCTATAATAGTCTAAATTAATTTAAATGAGTCAGTATATTAAGCAGAAGTCTTTAGAGAAACCTCATTGAATCAATAAGCATTACGTGTAATTAATACAGTTTATAAATAGGTGATGATTGTTAAGTTACTTGTTTTTTTCTTAAATCATTCTCCCTATGGTCCTTAATTTTTTTTAAATGGTAAAAGAATTTCCAAAGCTAATTAATTAAATAAAGAAGAGATAAACTAAGGCCCCCTCTATATGAGTTAACATGATTTCACTGAATTCCCAAAGCACACGGATTATTTTTATATTTTTCCTGTTATTTGGAAGATGAAATAATGAATATGGTCTCCACCATGTAGGTATGTGCACAAACACAACATATGTACTGAAAAGTCAAAACAGGCATACCTACTGCTTAAAAGGGAATTGGTTCATTTTGCAAATTTCCATGAAGCCTTTGGGTAGACTCTTTACAGATATATATGAAATTGAAATGTTAATTTATGCCAGACAGTTAAATGAAAGATGAAGGTACAACAAGTAGTCTCATCTCATCTCAAAGGGCTAATATTTTGGTGGCCAATGAGAGATGTAAAACAACTGGCAAGCAAGCAACTATTAAAAAATCTGTAAGCCAGGAGCCAAGGCTGTAAAGGAGCCTACATGGAAACATCTCATTAAAACGATATGGACGGAAGAAATTCAAACACTACACACTTAAATTTAAAATCACCTTCAATACAAGTCAAAGGGTCAACATGATACAAATGATCATCCATAGAATCAATGTTTCTAAATACAAAGACGAGAAGCTTAGATTGATCTCACTGTTCCATAGAACTTATACATTCATTGTCTTCTAGCTTGTAAAAACCAATTGTTGGTATAATAAAACTGGAAACTGGGAAGATTGAGCAAGACTGCTGTATAGAATCCAATCCCAAGTTGTCTGCCCAAGGATAGATTCAGTTTTTCTCTAGCGTTTGATAAGTCAGGTTGATCTTAAAGGTAGTAGTTGGAAACTTTTTCAAGGCAGTGGTTCTCAAAGCATAGTTCCCAAAACAGCAGTATTGGCCTCACCTATAAACTTGTTAGAAATGCAAATTTCCTGATTTACTTAACTGGAAACTCTGAGCGTGAGCCCAGCAATCTGTGTCTTAACAGGCCCTCCAGGTGATACTGATGTGTACTAAAGTTTGAGAACCACTGTTCTAAAGACAAAAGATATGGGACAACCACTGGTTAAACCTTCAGGATAGGAATTAACAGTAAAAACAGTTTTTGGTGGTTGAAAAGGGTGGAAGGACCATAATTAGATGGAATTCACCAGCAGTGGAGTGCCATTTTGTCACCAAAGTGGTCAGCCACTCTCTCCTCCCTGGTACCCCTTTGAAGTATTGTACAAAGATACAGAGAAAAGGTTTTGTATGGTGCTCGTGGTGTGGTAGTGGTTTCTCTTCAATGATAGAATGGTACCACAATTTATAAAGAAACTGATGATCTCAGGAGATATTTTTGGTCTGTCTTCCCTGAAATAAGAATTGTGTTTTGGAAATCTAAAGGGTGTTCTGTTCCAAAATCTTAAGTTATTATTTCCACATCAAATAGCAAACACTACAATATAGCCAGAGAAAAAGGATCTTCCAAACAAACAAAAAAGGTATGTTTTCTAGATTGCTCCACTACTAAATGAGAACTTTTTTTTGAGGAGGCGTAATTATAAATCAAGTTCTTGACCAAGTTTACAAATCTTTCCCAGTAACAAGCTCATATTTCCAATAAAAAGTGCTCTTTTGCTTTCCTAAGGCCACACTAAATCTCCCTGGGGTCACCTAAGTGGTGCCCAAGCATATTGAAGTCTTGTCATCTGCTTACTGCAAGACTCTGGATTTTCCTTCTGCCTGTTTCTTTGTCTGTAAAACAAGTGGAAATGTGTAGATGTTATGGCACATGGTTACTAAGGATGTCGACTTGATGCCCTTAGCACCTGGTTCTTCAAGCAATCTTGTCCAACCAGCTGCTTCCTCTTCAGAGAATGTACATTTTGAAAAATGGTTATCCATTATTTTGCATATTCCCAAACTTTGTGCTACAAATTTAGTACCATGTATTTCCCAGAGAAGCAAGTAAAGAGGCACTGTTGGCTACAGGGCACTTTATTCTGAGTTGATTAAATGATATTTGAAAAAAGTTTACAAATCGTGCATGCCATTCTAGACACAGGCTGCCATGTACTTCTGTGTTAACAGCTGGCCATGAACAGTATTATTCCATCATTTCTGCCTAATTCAGTGAGTTTTCTAAAGTAACACTGAATGTCTGCTTGAAGATTAAAGTTTAGATTTTGGCTTTATTTTCAAACACTTGAAATGTGTTACATATGATTTTTTAATGTATAAACACGATTCATTTTCTTTTTTCAACTTTATTTTTAAAAACCTCCGTAACATCCCAGACAGATCTGAGATGTCAAATAGTCTCATTTTAATGGCCTCATTCCATGAAACTTTTTCTCATACTAGAGTGCTTACTCTGTGGACTTACAGCATGTTGTCAGAGAGAGAATGGCCTTTGAATTCAGAAACACCTCTTTTGCAACCAACTTTGCCTTTTGCTTGTTATCTTGGGCAAGTTTCTGAACCTCTCTGGGTCTGTGTTCTCATCTGAAAAAATGAGGAACACAATACTTGTCTCACAAGGTTGTTGTGAGGACTACGTGTGATAATACAGGTAAAGGTTTGCAATCACAGTGACATTCACCACTCTCTTCCTCCCTGCTATTTGTAACCTCTTGTTATTACTGTCAGCTCTACACAAAGGTCTTCATTCTGTTTACTTTGATGGGACTGATACTGATGGATTTTCCTTTCTGAGAAAGAAAACTTTCCTGTATAAGCAGTATTGTGATGAATCTGGTAAAATCAAGGATATCTATTACATAACTGCATTACCTTCTCACAGCCAAGGCTATTTTAAAACAACAAGGACGAAAAGCCTAATGATCATTGTACCAATATGTTTCAATTTCAAGGAACTTTTGAATTATATCAACATTTTTGTCATGTTTGATTTAAAATTTTTATTTTTGTTTACTTTTTTGAGAAGAAGTCTCACTTTGTCACCCAGGCTAGAGTGCAATCTTGGTTCACTGCAACCCCCACCTCCCAGGTTCAAGCAATTCTCCTGCCTCAGCCTCCCAAGTAGCTGGGATTACAGGTGGCTGCCACCATGCCCGGCTAATTTTGTATTTTTAGTAGAGACAGGGTTTCACCATGCTGGCCAGGTCTCAAACTCCTGACCTCAAGAGATCTACCTGCCTCAGCCTCCCAAAGTGCTGGGATTACAGGCATGAGCCACCATGCCTGATTTAAAGTATTTTAATGAGAGCTGTTAAGTGTGTTAGTATCTGTCTGGGTTCTTATTGGTCAGTCATTACATAGACCCCAAATAATAAAAGTGTTCTAGTTTTATATCTATGGTAAGGGCTGGAAAATTATCATAAGAGGAGAGAAGATTGTGTAAAAAGGCAGTCTATTTTTAAAATATGATCAGGAGACACAAGAGCTAGGTGAGATGCTATGGACAGTGCATGAGGTTCAGTTGTGAAAACCGATGTCCTCATTAATGACAGAGAGAACTCTGTCCCTCCATACACTTGGCTGGGCCATCATCAGTCCCAGGTCTCTTATACTTGGAGTTTTCCAGATGTTTGTTTCATGAAGCACACTTTACCAAAATTTGGGAAAAGAAGAGAAAGATCTCAACTTTAGGGTAATAAAGTTTTGGCTATAAATACAGGCAACTAAAAACAATGTATAAACTTTCATTCTGCTTAGGTCTGTAAATACATGCTAATAACTGTTCTTCACTTTAAAAGGCTGCTTTGAATTTTGTCTTACTGTTGCTGCAAAAGAGACTGTGAGGAGAGAAACACCTGACACTTTCAGAGACTGGGAGGGAGTGAAACAAGTTTGGGGGTGGGCAGCTGAGTCACAGGAACAGGGCAAGAGACTGAGCTGGGCGGTCTGGGAAAGTGCCACTCCCCTCTCAGTGTTCTTCATCTCCTCCCTTGCTTCTCCACCTGCTGGGAAGAATCACCTGAAGGCCTACTTATTAGAGACTACTTTGCATCAAGCTGCAAATACCTCTGAGAAGTACTGCTGTCACTCAGTGATGTTTCTGGTTGAAATCTGATGTCAGTGTGGATGTCCAGTAACTCGAGTGCAGAGTATGTCAGGACTGGGTTATAGAGAAGACAATGGGAAGGTACCAAAACACTCTTAAAAATTATAGGTCAAGAGCTCTGTACACCTTCTCATCCTTTTATTCTTGGGACCCATATTCAGGCTAGAACTAGAACAGTGTTCGGACACAGTATAGGGTAAACTTATGTTCAAGAATTTTGGATCCCATAATAGAGCATCAGGGAGAACGCTGATTTCCAAATAACTAACATACTTTGGGACACAGTATTCACAATTATCATTTTTTTAGATGGAGTTTCACTCTTGTCGCCCAGGCTGGAGTGCAATGGCACAATCTCGGCTCACTGCAACCTCCGCCTCCTGGGTTCAAGCGATTCTCCTGTCTCAGCCTCCTGAGTAGCTGGGATTACAGGTGCATGCTACCACACCTAGCTAATTTTTGCATATTTGGTAGAGACGGGGTTTCACCATGTTGTCCAGGCTGGTCTCAAACTCCTGACCGCATGTGATCCGCCCACCTCGGCCTCCCAGAGTGTTGGGATTACAGGCATGAGCCACTGCGCCCAGCCGGTATTCACAAATTGAGACAGCTTCCTTTGAATTTTTCTACTTTATGAAAAGTTGCTATGTATAAATACTGTAATTCTGGCCTCTGCTTTACTGAGGCCTTTTCCCCCAGTAAACTGTGGAGTACTCACAGGTTCACAAAGAAGAACTGAACCTCAGGTAAGCTATAAAAAGAAACAAAACAACTGTGGTGTTACTTCTGTTGGAAAATAAAAAAAAAAAAGCAGTTATCCAACTTTCAATTCCATTTATAAAGTATAAAAATTCAAAAGTATACAACATAGTTCACTGATATCCCAACAATTCATTGCCTTTTAAGATCAAATAGCTGATTACCTGTTTCTAAACTTGAATTATTGTCTAGTGAGTGAAAAATGAAGGCAAACAGAGTGTTCTGTGGAACTGGGAAAAAAATGGATTCTGTGGTGATCTCTAGATGGCACACAGAATGATAAGGGTCTTTCTTTCAGATCACCTGAAGAAGTCACAACACTGCCTTCCTCTTAACCTCTAAGTTAGTTCCATGTTTCTCAAGGAGGGCAAAGTTTGCAAATACCCTTTTAAATCCGTGTTTCAAGACTGCAGAATTTGTCTTTTATTTAAAGGGTGACTTATTCATTACGAATAGAGCTGAGAAATTATAATGTATGCCTTAACAACTAACTCTGCTCTGTAGAATGTGTGTAAGTAAGCTTGATTGAGGAGTTTTCAATCATTAGGATAATGTAAAAATACTGTAAATAATAAGATAAAGCTTTCAGTACTTAGAAATATCCACCTGAAATATTGGTCTGAATGAAAAGACATCAAACGTAGGGTAACTTTACTTGCTAGATAGGAGAAATATTTTAAATAGACAAAATTTTCTAAATTTCAGTGTCTTTCTCCATTGCCTTCATTTTATGAGACTTGCGCTTGTGTAACTGACACCATAATTTTGCAAGATTGTTGTGTTATATTTTAAGATTGAAAATGATTTCATCATAATCCATCCCTACCCCACACTCCCTGCTCCCTTCCTGAGTCCCTTTCCTCCAAGTGTGTTGATATAAAATGAGTTGTGTTTTACTGTTTTGTTGTCTTAAAAACCAAATGTTATACCTTACGTTCAGATAATTGTGGGGCATGGAAATGTAAGTGCAACAAAAGACTAAGGCACCATTTTTTCTTTCCTTTCCTTGTTTGCCTTGGGGACGGAAGCAAACACCACGAGAACAGCCAGGGTGGCTGGTCGGTCTCATGTCTCTCGACGATCTATGTATCAGCCACTTTCACTGGGTACTCTGTGTCACAGGCTGACAAGCCACAGACTTCAAACCCTGCTAGGAAAGAACTTTCTTCTTTTAGACATACAGAAATCATACAGAAATCAAGGCACAACAGTACCTTATATGGGGAAATTGGTGAATAGCTGAAAATCTTATTTAGGAATAATTTTGAAGTGTTCTGGATTATTTTACAACAGAAGTCACCTCTTTCTTGATTATGACACCCAAGAATATGTTTTTATAGTTGTCTTCTTCCCAGCCAAACCCATAATCATAAATCTTCCTCCAGTTAATAATCCCTGGTACTAGATGTCTGAGTTTACATATCAGCTTGATTTACCAGCAGATATTGCCTTAGGAATTATATTTATTTTTAAGATGATAGATCAATATAGTGTTTTCAAATGAGTAACCCTTGAAAATGACCCATTTGGGGACAATGCTGTAAGCAAAAGCACTGGGAAATATACTTCAAGAGTTAGAAACATATCAAGGATTATAGATTCTTCTATAATAATGTGCAAAATCAGAATATCGTTTGTGTCATCTAGATACAAACCTTAGCATGGCCCCAATGCTGATCAGTGGTTGGAAAGGCTTTTTACATTAGGAAACATTGTTCTCTGAGACACTAGTTTAAGTGGGGCTGGTGGTGGGGAAAACGCAACAGTTGGATAGGCAGGCAGACTCTAACCCTCACTACTGCTGTTTGGTGGCGGAGTGGAATAGGAGTCTGCTACACAATGATGTCTACACAATGATGTCATAGACACGGCCCACCCTGCCCAGCCACTCCCTCACAGCCTGGCGAACTCTGATGTCAGTCACGTGACAGGTCAGCTGACTGATGCACGGGAACACTGCGGGTTGGAGGGCCGTAAAGGTCTGGTCTGGGAGAATCTGAATCTGATTGAGAACTGTTAGCACCATGTTGGTCCATGCCTAAGAGAAAGGATTTAAGAAAATTAGTGGCTTTCCCCCCTGGTTTTATTTGAACACTTGAGAGCGGCCCTGCCAATGTGGAAATGGTTTTTTTTTTTCAGGCTGTAGTTGCAATAAATTAGTTTTTGTTCATTTAATATGCCTATAATAAATTGTAGGCATATTAATTTATTATGCCTACATCATAATTTCACATCCATAAAGATGGGCAGAGATTCGCCTTATTTTCAGCTTTCACAAACTACTAAACTCTTACTCCTTAGATCAGAAAAAACAAAAGCAAAAATAAAAAACCTCCCTTGCCTTCTCACAATGAGATCTCCATAGGCCATTCATCTCAAACTCATTTTTTGATGCACCATAGAATTACACTCTAAGCCCCCCTGAAGATTGAGAATTTTTATGTGCACAGTATGGGCTAGAAAAAGTTGAGATGAAAACAATTTGAAAAAAGTTAATTGGCATAACCACACAATATTTGCTTTTTTCGTTTGTATAATGCTTCATAACTACAGAATTTCTTCAGTGCCATTTTTGAATGACACACTAAGAACTCAATGCCAGTTGAAGCTTACTTTTTTTAAGACAGGGTTTCCCTATGCATCCAAACTGGTGTGCAGTGGCACTATCTCAGCTCACTGCAACCTCTGCCTCCTGGGATCACGCAATCCTCCTGGCTCAGCCTCCCAAGTAGCTGGGATTACGGGCATGTGCCACCTTTCCCAGCTAATTTTTGTATTTCTTTTTTTGTAGAGATGGGTTTTGCCTTGTTGTCCAGGCTGGTCTTGAAAAAGCTTACATTTTATAAGCTTTAGCCTCATCTTATTTATACAGCTAAGTTCCTAATTTTCAATAATACACATTACAATGGAGAAAAACAGTTCCTGAAATTACCTGAGAGTAAAATTCCAGCTTCATAATGATATACTGATACTGGGAAATCCTGCACTTAGGCTCGGGCAGTCCTCTGACTTTGGAGGGAAATTGGTTCGTACTCCCTACCTGTTTCTATAAATCTTAGCCTGTGTGAGCCCGCTCTGCAAGGGGGGCCCATTCAGTACTGGAAACCCAGCTTCCCGCCCACCTCCTCTGGCCGCAGGGGTGTACCTGGATCTGTGCTTCTGCGTCTCTCACCGAGACACTAAGGGAGCTGCCGGTGGAGCCTGAGCGGGGCCTCTTGTCCTGTCGCAGCAGCTCGGGGCCTGCGCTGAAGGAATGCCGCATTTGCCCTTGGTCCATCAAGTGCTGGGGACGCTGAAGCAGTGGGGAGTCCTGGCCCCTGGGACCCAGTGGCTCTCCTTTCTTCTCCACTTTGACCTCTTTGGGGAACGCGGCCAGGTTGTGCTGCTGTTTCCTCTTTTTGTATTCGGTCATCAACTTTGAAATGGTCTTGTCGGCCGCCATGGTGTAGATTTTGTTGCCTGCATTCTCCCACCACTCCTTCTTCCGGCTGGGATCCTTCTTCTCTACTTTGGGGCTGGGGGGCAGCAGCAGCAGGTCCCCACCAGCGGTCTTCAGGCTCAGGGACTCGCCCGTGTGCTCCCGGCACTGGCTTCTGTCGTCCTCGGAAGGGGTTTCTTTCCCAGAGAAGCCCCCCGTGGATGGGGTGGATGACTCGGACTGGAAGGAGGGCAGGATGAAGAATGGGTCGCCCTTGAAGATGGGAGGCTCCTCCAAACAGTTCTCCAGGTCCAAGTGCATCTGGATGTAGTTGTTGCACAGTTCCATGCACAGCTTGTGCAGCCTCTTGACCAGCCACACCCAATCTGCGTTGCTGACAGGCTGGACGCTGAGCAAGGGCATCCGTGCCCGCCACTGTCTCTTCTCCTTGCCTCTCGGGGGGCTGACCTGGGCGGTTTCCTCAAAGATGTCTTCATCCTCCGATGAACACTGCTGGGAAGAATCTGTGCTTCTCTCGTCGTCCTCAAAAAGGACCTTCTTCACTTGCTCGGCCGTGATGGTTTCTTGATTGGTGAGAACAGCACACACCAGGGCGTGGAAATAAATGTTAAAGCTCATCGCAGACTGACGGTAGAGGTTGGCGGCGCCCCCGATGCCAGACACTTTCTTCAGCAGGCACTTCAGCCCGGGGCTGGTGTCAAACTCCCTGGCAGTCCTGTAAGAGTCCAGCAGCAGGTCGAATATGACTGCCAAGTTCTGCATGGAGATGTATCTGAGGAAGCCAGCCAGCTTGGCTTCTGGCACTTGGATCGTCTTTTCCTCTCCAGGAGAGGGGCCTTTGACAAACTCTTCTAACAAGATGTCATATAAGTTCTGGAGTAACACCTGATGGGACAGCAGGCTCACCACAATTTCCCTGAAAGACACGCTTCAAGTGAAAAGAGAGGGATCGATGAATGGTTTTCTGCCCTACATCAGGTATTTCAAAGCAATATAGACGTTACCCATTTCAGAATGATATATGCAAATTTACAAACTAAACTACCTCTACTCAAATGTCTTCCGTGAAAAAAGGCATACTTTTTGGGCATTACATGATAACCATTTTAATCACAACTAGTGGACTTCTTGACACTTTAAAAAATTCCCAAAGCTATAGAATATAAGTTATGATGCCAAATTAACAGTTAACATCAAGATATATTTGTGAAAAGATATCACAGTTGAAGGGGGCTGGGGGCTTTTTTTGCCCTTGGGAACACAGAATACATTTTGGGTTTTCCTATAACCCATCGCATGAGGTCAGGTGTGGAATTTTCCATTTGTGGTGTCTCGCTGGCACTCAAAAAGTTGGGGTTAGGGATGCTCAACCTGTCCTATGTTTGCCAAATTTTTAAATTCACCAGTGTGGTTCAGTGTGGTTTTGGTTTCCAGTTTCATTTCTTTTCACTGCTCTTAGAATTTTATGAAAATAGTTGAGGCCATTATATGGCCAATTAATGCCCCAAACTGGATAATTATAAAATTATGACAACTGTTATTAATTTCAAAGGTCTAGCCATCATGTTAATAACATTTTGCTTTATGTCTCACTATGACTTTGAATGTAAAAATTTGTATAAGTAGGAAAAGTGCTTTTCTAACAGCAGAAAATGACAAATCCTGCATAAATCTCAATGTCAACTTTGCCCTTTGTCTAGTCCTCACTGAGGGAAAACACATTACTCTCAAAAACAGCAACCTTTTAAAATAAATCACGTTCACTTTTTTGTGGTAAAATAATACATAAAAGTTACTATTTTAATTTTTTGTGTATACAATTCAGTGATATTAAGTATATTCATAATGTTGTGTAACCATTACTGCTATCTATTGCTAAAACTTTTTCATCATTTCTAACAGAAACTTTGTACCCATTAAACAACTCTCCATTTCCCCAGCCTCAGCTCCTACTTAAGCTACCAGTAAACCCGAACACGCGTTCTTCTGAAAAAGAGGGCTCCAAAAGCTTATACCAACTTGGTCCAAAAGCTATCAGTTTGTTCTAATGTTTTCTGTCCATACTATAAGGATGTGAACTAAAAAGGGAAATTTTTTAGTCATCAGACAAGTCTGTCCCCATGACACCTATAACATCCTCAAGGGACGGGACACTACCTTATTCATCTTCTTGTCCCCAGTAACCGGGAAAATGGTGAGAGTAGCATTCAGTAAGTCTCCAAGTCAAAGAAGGAAAGCAGGCTGGCTCTGGGCACAGGCTGCCTGAAGGAAATGCTCCCCCTGAGAAATTGCTCTGACATTTGAACCCCACTCCCCTAGGATCCTGGATCCCTGACGCAGGAAGCACCACCAGAGGGGTGAGTTTAATCAGCCTGGTGAAGGCGTGAAACCCTTCGCTCACAACATTGTTTTTTATTACCTTCCCTAAGAAATGAAAAGCCATTTTCCAGCCAACACCTAAAGTGAGGCCAATGCAAAGCCATGTCTGAATTGTGGAATATCTTCATCCACCGAGATCATTTTTTGGATGCTTTAAGAGATACAGCTCCTAACTACGCATGTAAAAAAAGACAGCAAATCCCCTTTACCTTAGGTTTGGGTTAAAGGATGCAGTGACAAGAAAACAGAATGGGAAGGAAATAATACTGAAGAGATTAAGGTTTCACAAAGATAAGTGAAACAATTTTATAGATATGCAGTTCTTAATCATCTATGCTAATAGGAGACAAAGATCTCAAACAAAATCAACAAATAACTTTCTAATTCAGCGTACCCAAGGGTTTCAAGCTTTTTCTCAGCACACCTTTAAGAAGTCTGCCATTCTCCAGATTGGATAATTGAGAATTATTTGCATAACAAGTGGTTGACTTAAAACATGCTAATATATATATATCTTTTAAAAATTATTATACTTTAAGTTCTAGGGTACATGTGTACAACGTGAAGGTTTGTTACATATGTATACTTGTGCCATGTTGCTGTGCTGCACCCATCAACTCGTCATTTACATCAGTTATAACTCCCAATGCCATCCCTCCCCCCTCCCCCCTCCCCCCTCCCCATATTAGGCCCCGGTGTGTGATGTTCCCCTTCCCATGTCCAAGTGATCTCATTGTTCGATTCCCACCTATGAGTGAGAACATGTGGTATTTGGTTTTCTGTTCTTGCGACAGTTTGCTGAGAATGATGGTTTCCAGCTGCATCCATATCCCTACAAAGGGCACGAACTCATCATTTTTTATGGCTGCATAGTATTCCATGGTGTATATGTGCCACATTTTCTTAATCCAGTCTGTCACTGACGGACATTTGGGTTGATTCCAAGTCTTTGCTATTGTGAATAGTGCCGCAATAAACATATGTGTGCATGTGTCTTTATAGCAGCATGATTTATAATCCTTTGGGTATATACCCAGTAATGTGATGGCTGGGTCATATGGTATTTCTAGTTCTAGATTCTGGAGGAATCGCCGTACTGTTTTCCACAATGGTTGAACTAGTTTACAATCCCACCAACAGTGTAAAAGTGTTTCTATTTCTCCACATCCTCTCCAGCACCTGTTGTTTCCTGACTTTTTAATGATTGCCATTCTAACTGGTGTGAGATGGTATCTCATTGTGGTTTTGATTTGCATTTCTCTGATAGCCAGTGATGATGAGCATTTTTTCATGTGTCTGTTGGCTGTATGAATGTCCTCTTTTGAGAAATGTCTGTTCATATCCAGTGCCCACTTTTTGATGGGGTTGTTTTTTTCTTGTAAATTTGTTTGAGTTCTTTGTAGGTTCTGGATATTAGCCCTTTGTCAGATGAGTAGATTGCAAAAATTTTCTCCCATTCTGTAGGTTGCCTGTTCACTCTGATGGTAGTTTCTTTTGCTGTGCAGAAGATCTTTAGTTTAATTAGATCTCATTTGTCAATTTTGGCTTTTGTTGCCGTTGCTTTTGGTGTTTTAGACATGAAGTCCTTCCCCGTGCCTATGTCCTGAATGGTATTACCTAGGTTTTCTTCTAGGGTTTATATGGTATTAGGTCTAACATTTAAGTCTCTAATCCATCTTGAATTAATTTTCGTATAAGGAGTAAGGAAAGGATCCAGTTTCAGCTTTCTACTTATGGCTAGCCAATTTTCCCAGCACCATTAATTAAATAGGGAATCCTTTCCCCATTTGTTTTTCTGAGGTTTGTCAAAGATCAGATGGCTGTAGATGTGTGGTATTATTTCTGAGGGCTCTGTTCTGTTCCATTGGTCTACATCTCTGTTTTGGTACCAGTACCATGCTGTTTTGGTTACTGTAGCCTTGTAGTATGCTAAGTCAGGTAGCATGATGCCTCTAGGTTTGTTCTTTTGACTTAGGATTGTCTTGGCAATGCGGGCTCTTTTTTGGTTCCATATGAACTTTAAAGCAGTTTATTCCAATTCTGTGAAGAAAGTCATAGGTAGCTTGATGGGAATGGCATTGAATCTAGAAATTACCTTGGGCAATATGGCCATTTTCATGATATTGATTCTTCCTATCCATGAGCATGGTATGTTCTTCCATTTGTTTGTGTCCTCTTTTATTTCACTGAGCAATGGTTTGTAGTTCTCCTTTAAGAGGTCCTTTACATCCCTTGTAAGTTGGATTCCTAGGTATTTTATTCTCTTTGAAGCAATTGTGAATGGAAGTTCATTCATGATTTGGCTCTATTTGTCTGTTACTGGTGTATAAGAATGCTTGTGATTTTTGCACATTAATTTTGTATCCTGAGACTTAGCTGAAGTTGCTTATCAGCTTAAGGAGATTTTGGGCTGAGACAATGGGGTTTTCTAAATATACAATTATGTCATCTGCAATCAGGGACAATTTGACTTCTTCTTTTCCTAACTGAATACGCTTTATTTCTTTCTCTTGCCTGATTGCCCTAGCCAGAACTTCCAGCACTATGTTGAATAGGAGTGGTGAGAGAGGGCATCCCTGTCTTGTGCCAGTTTTCAAAGGGAATGCTTCCAGTTTTTGCCCATTCAGTATGATAATGGCTGTGGGTTTGTCATAAATAGCTCTTATTATTTTGAGATACGTTCCATCAATACCGAATTTATTGAGAGTTTTTAGCATGAAGGACTGTTGAATTTTGTCAAAGGCCTTTTCTGCATCTATTGAGATAATCATGGGTTTTTGCCTTTGGTTCTGTTTATATGCTGAATTACGTTTATTGATTTGCATATGTTGAACCAGCCTTGCATCCCAGGGATGAAGCCCACTTGATCATGGTGGATAAGCTTTTTGATGTGCTGCTGGATTCGGTTTGCCAGTATTTTATTGAGGATTTTTGTATTGATGTTCATCAGGGATATTGGTCTAAAATTCTCTTTTTTTGTTGTGTGTCTGTCAGGCTTTGGTATCAGGATGATGTTGGCCTCATAAAATGAGTTAGGGAGGATTCCCTCTTTTTCTATTGATTGGAATAGTTTCAGAAGGAATGGTACCAGCTCCTCCTTGTACCTCTGGTAGAATTTGGATGTCAATCTGTCTGGTCCTGGACATTTTTTGGTTCGTAGGCTATTAATTATTGCCTCAATTTCAAAGCCTGCTATTGGTCTATTCAGGGATTCAACTTCTTCCTGGTTTAGTCTTGGGAGAGTGTAAGTGTCCAGGAAATTATCCATTTCTTCTAGGTTTTCTAGTTTATTTGCGTAGAGGTGTTTATAGTATTCTCTGATGGTAGTTTGTATTTCTGTGGGGTTGGTGGTGATATCCCCTTTATCATTTTTTATTGCGTCTATGTGATTCCTCTCTCTTTTCTTCTTTATTAATCTTGCTAGCAGTCAATCAATTTTGTTGATCTTTTCAAAAAAAACCAGCTCCTGGATTCATTGATTTTTTGGAGGGTTTTTTGTCTCTCTGTCTCCTTCAGTTCTGCTCTGATCTTAGTTATTTCTTGCCTTTTGCTAGCTTTTGAATGTGTTTGCTCTTTCTTCTCTAGTTCTTTTAATTGTGATGTTAGAGTGTCAATTTTAGATCTTTCCAGCTTTCTCTTGTGGGCATTTAGTGCTATAAATTTCCCTCTACACACTGCTTTAAATGTGTCCCAGAGATTCTGGTATGTTGTATCTTTGTTCTCATTGGTTTCGAAGAACATCTTTATTTCTGCCTTCATTTCCTTATGTACCCAGTAGTCATTAGGAGCAGGTTATTCAGTTTCCATGTCGTTGAGCGGTTTTGATTGAGTTTCTTAGTCCTGAGTTCTAGTTTGATTGCACTGTGGTCTCAGAGACAGTTTGTTATAATTTCTGTTCTTTTACATTTGCTGAGGAGTGCTTTACTTCCAACTATGTGGTCAATTTTGGAATAAATGCGATGTGGTGCTGAGAAGAATGTATATTCTGTTGATTTGGGGTGGAGAGTTCTGTCGATGTCTACTAGGTCCGCTTGGTGCAAGGTTGAGTTCAATTCCTGGATATCTTTGTTAACTTTCTGTCTTGTTGATCTGTCTAGTGTTGACAGTGGGGTGTTGAAGTCTCCCATTATTATTGTATGGGAGTCTAAGTCTCTTTGTAAGTCTCTAAGGACTTGCTTTATGAATCTGGGTGCTCCTGTATTGTGTGCATATATATTTAGGATAGTTAGCTCTTCCTGTTGAATTGATCCCTTTACCGTTATGTAATGGCCTTCTTTGTCTCTTTTGATCTTTGATGGTTTAAAGTCAGTTTTATCAGAGACTAGGATTGCAACCCTTGCTTTTTTTTGTTCTCCATTTGCTTGGCAGATCTTCCTCCATCTCTTTATTTTGAGCCTATGTTTGTCTCTGCATGTGAGATGGGTCTCCTGAATACAGCAAACTGATGGGTCTTGACTCTTTATCCAATTTGCCAGTCTGTGTCTTTTAATTGGACCATTTAGTCCATTTACATTTAAGGTTAAGATTGTTATGTGTGAACTTGATGCTGTCATTGTGATATTAGCTGGTTATTTTGCTTGTTAGTTGATGCAGTTTTTTCCTAGCATCAATGGTCTTTACATTTTGGCATGTTTTTGCAATGGCTGGTACCGGTTGTTCCTTTCCATGTTTAGTGCTTCCTTCAGGGTCTCTTGTAGGGCAGGCCTGGTGGTGACAAAATCTCTCAGCATTTGCTTGTCTGTAAAGGATTTTATTTCTCCTTCACTTATGAAACTTAGTTTGGCTGGATATGAAATTCTGGGTTTAAAATTCTTTTCTTTAAGAATGTTGAATATTGGCCCCCACTCTCTTCTGGCTTGTAGAGTTTCTGCTGAGAGATCTGCTGTTAGTCTGATGAGCTTCCCTTTGTGGGTAACTCGACCTTTCTCTCTGGCTGCCCTTAACATTTTTTCCTTCATTTCAACTTTGGTGAATCTGACAATTATGTGTCTTGGAGTTGCACTTCTCAAGGAGTATCTTTGTGGTGTTCTCTGTATTTTCTGAATTTGAATGTTGGCCTGCCTTACTAGGTTGGGGAAGTTCTCCTGGATGATATCCTGAAGAGTATCTTCCAACTTGGTTCCATTTTCCCCCTCACTTTCAGGCACACCAATCAGACACAGATTTGGTCTTTTCACATAATCCCATATTTCTTGGAGGCTTTGTTCATTTCTTTTTACTCTTTTTTCTCTAGACTTCTCTTCTTGCTTTGTTTCATTCATTTGATCTTCAATCATTGATACTCTTTCTTCCAGTTGATCGAGTCGGTTACTGAAGCTTGTGCATTTGTCATGTATTTCTCGTGTCATGGTTTTTATCTCTGTCAGTTCGTTTACGGCCTTCTCTGCATTGATTATTCTAGTTATCCATTCTTCCGTTCTTTTTTTCAAGATTTTTAGTTTCTTTGCACTGGGTACGTAGTTCCTCCTTTAGCTCTGAGAAGTTTGATCGACTGAAGCCTTCTTCTCTCAACTCATCAAAGTCATTCTCCGTCCAGCTTTGATCCATTGCTGGTGATAAGCTGCATTCCTTTGGAGGGGGAGATGCGCTCTGATTTTTTGAATTTCCAGTTTTTCTCCCCGCTTTTCCCCCATCTTTGTGGTTTTATCAGTCTTTGGTCTTTGATGACAGTGACGAACTGATGGGGTTTTGGTGTGGGTGTCCTTCCTGTTTGTTAGTTTTCCTTCTAACAGTCAGGACTCTCAGCTGTAGGTCTGTTGGAGATTGCTTGAGGTCCACTCCAGACCCTGTTTGCCTGGGTATCAGCAGCAGAGGCTGCAGAAGATAGAATATTGCTGGACAGCGAGTGTTGCTGTCTGATTCTTGCTCTGGAAGCTTTGTCTCAGGGGTGTACCCAGCCATGTGAGGTGTGAGGTGTTGGTCCGCACCGAGTGGGGGATGTCTCCCAGTTAGGCTACTCAGGGGTCAGGGACCCACTTGAGCAGGCAGTCTGTCTGTTCTCAGATCTAAACCTCCATGCTGGGAGAACCACTGCTCTCTTCAAAGCTGTCAGACAGGGTCATTTACATCTGCAGAGGTTTCTGCTGCTTTTTGTTTAGCTATGCCCTGTCCCCAGAGGTGGAGTCTACAGAGACAGGCAGGCCCCCTTGAGCTGCAGTGGGGCCACCCAGTTCGAGCTTCCTGGTTGCTTTGTTTACCTAATTAAGCCTCAGCAATGGCAGACGCCCCTCCCCAAGCCTCGCTGCTGCCTTGCAGTCAGATCTCAGACTGCTGTGCTATCAATGAGGGAGGCTCCATGGGCATGGGACCCTCCCATCCAGGTGTGGGATATAATCTCCTGGTGTGCCATTTGCTAAGACGCTTGGTAAAGCGCAGAATTACGGTGGGAGTTACCCGATTTTCCAGGTGTTGTGTGTCTCAGTTTCCCTTGGCTAGGAAAAGGGATTCCCTTCCCCCTTGCACTTCCCAGGTGAGGCGATGGCTTGCCCTGCTTCAGCTCTCGCTGGTTGGGCTGCACCAGCTGACCAGCACCGATTGTCTGGCACTCCCCAGTGAGATGAACCCAGTACCTCAGTTGAAAATGCAGAAATCACCCGTCCTCTGTGTCACTCGCGCTGGGAGCTGGAGGCTGGAGCTGCTCCTATTCGGCCATCTTGCTCTGGGAATCGCTAATATATATATATCTTAAAGTACTAATTAAGATTATGTGGATTAAGTAAAGCTTGGGGCTATCAATGTCAAGGCTATTAAAACAAACCCAAACCAACTAACACAGGTTTCTCTACTTAAATGCTGTAATCTGGTTTTAGGATTACATCTAAAGTATGCACCTGGCCAGCATATAGTTTTCCATAGGTCTAACTCATCTTCCACTACATCCTATACTGAACTAAGAATTGCCCCTGCAAATAAGAGTGAAATCTAAGAATGCAAAGCATAGAGAGTTTGGCTGAGAGCTCCTAAAGAATGTTAAGGAATGTCTTTTGCCTCAGTGACCAGTGGGATTGGTGAAAGAATTTAATATGCTTATTTTGTTTTGCCTAACTACAATGAGTGGGCAATTGCCTATTAAATGTGCTAGGAAAATTTATGAGCCATGTTGCTATATTTTCAAACTGTAACCTTTTAAAACCAATAATATAAGGATATTAGGCTATTCCTCCTATGTTTTATTTATAATTTGAATGCAACCTATTCCTTTTTCCTACTTTTACATCAAAAATATTTCAGCAAGAATAACTGGCTGAATGTGAATTAGAAATAGGAAAAAAGGAAGAAAAGAACTGAAATTCTGAAGTAAATCAATGCTTAGAGATGCCAAAGGATTGAACAATCTTTGGTAGATAAAAAAATGACCAACACTTAAAAATCAGTGACTGGTGGTTGAGGGAAACAGACTAGAATTGGTAGAGTTTTATTGCTGAAGTTGGGTGACTGGTTCACATTTATTTTTTATTCATGCTTCATAACTTTTGAACATTCTACATTTTTTTTGTATGTACCAATAATTGACCAAAAAATTATTACCTAGAAATTTCACCCAAATAATTGTTATATTAATCAAACTGCCCTGCTAACCCAGCTACCTGTTTGTTTGTTTTGAGATGAAGTCTTGTTCTGCCACCCAGGCTGGAGTGCAGAGCGATCTCAGCTCACTGCAACCTCCGCCTCCTGGGTTCAAACGATTCTCCTGCCTCAGCCTCTTGAGTAGCTGGGACTACAGGCATAAGCCAGCATGCCTGACCCAGCTAACTTTTGGACAAATCACCCAGAGCTTGTGAAATGATACCAACTATCTTTATTTGGGCTGCCGTAACAAATACCATAGACTGGGTGGCTTACAAACAACAGAAATTGGTTTCCTGTAGTTCTAGAGGCTGGATGTCTGAGATCAGAGTGCCAGCATGGGTGGCTTCTGGTGAAGGCCCTCTTCCAGACTACAGATGACCACATGGCAGAAAGAGGGCAAGGGATCTGCCTGTTCTTTTAAGGACACGAATCCCTTTCATGAGGGCTCCACCCTCAAGACCGAATTTCCTCCTGAAAGGCCCATCTAACATCATCACATTGGGGGTTAGGAGTAAAATACATCAATATTGGGGGACACATTCAGTCTACTGCAGCAACTCTCTCCTTGAAATGGGAAACGGCAGAGGCCTTATGCCCAACCAGACCTAGTTTTTTTTTTTTTTTCTTTTAAGACAGGAGTCTCGCTCTGTCACCCAGGCTGTAGTACAGTGGTATGATCACTGCAACCTCCGCCTCCCGGGTTCAAGGGATTCTCCTGCCTCAGCCTCCTGAGTAGCTGGGATTACAGGTGCACACCACTATGCCCGGCTAATTTTTGTATTTTTAATAGAGACAGGGTTTCACCATGTTGGCCAGGCTGGTCTCAAACTCCTGACCTCAGGTGATCCGCCTGCCTTGGGTCCCAAGGTGCTTGGATTACAGGTGTGAGCCACTGCGCCCAGCCCAGAGCCAGTTTTGATTCTGACTCCACCTCTTTGCAGTTGTGTGTCCTCGGGCAAGGGACCCAAGCCTCTCTGTATGTGCCCTCACTGTGTTTCACATAGAGTGCTCAAATACTTAGCATTACTATTAATGTGTCAGAAGTTTAAAAGTGGGAAATCTTGGTCATTGCCTTCATCCTCAAATCTAGAACGAAATTTTTAAGGGAGGATGATAGTGTTTAGAAAGGGCAAGTTTCCTGGGGCAGAGCATAGACCTTTTTGTCTTCCAATAGCCATTATTGTTCCTGGGGAGGTTTATGCGCTTCTCACTGAAACAATCAGAACCATGCCTCAATTTACTTCTTATTTTTTAATGAGACAAGGTTTTGTTCTGTTGCCCAGGCTGGAGTGCAGTGGCACAATCATGCCCACTACAGCCTGGACCTCCTGGGCTCAAGTGACCCTCCCACCTCAGCCTCCTGAGCAGCTGGGACTACAGGCGCATGCCATCACGCTTGGATACATTTTTATTTTTTTACTTTTTTGTAGAGATGGCTCTCACTATGTTACTCAGGCTGGGCTCGAATTCTGAGCTTAAGTGATCCTCCTGCAGTTCTGGGATTAGAGTTGTGAGCCACCGCACCCGGCCCCTATTTTTGTTTAAGATAGTAAGTGTATGACATTATGGGTTGGGCTGTGTTCCCCCAATTCATATGTTGAAGTCCTAACCTCAGAATGTGACTATATTTGGAGAATAGGTCTTTTAAGAGGTAATTAATTCAAAATGAGGTAATGAGGGTTAATTTTAATTAAAAAATGACTGGTGTCTTTATAAGAAGAGGAAATTCAGATATACACCCGTACAGAGGAAGTCCCTGTTAAGACACAGGAAGAAAATGGTCATCTACAGGTCAAGGAGACAGACCTCGGAGGAAACCTTCATATCTGACTTCTAGGTGCCAGAACTGTGGGATATATGGTTCTGCTGTTTGAGTCACCCGGTCTGTGGTACTTTCTGTGGCAACCTGGGCAACCTAATACATATGAAATGTGGGGAATTTGGTTACAAGGCTAACCGTTTTTATGAAAACCTTTGCTAAATGACTCCACAGATGTTTTCAGTATTCCTGGCCAAAGCTTGGATTACAATGCGTGAGAACTGGAAGTGAATGAACGTTCTTATTCATAAGCACTCTATGAGTTGAGATTTAGGTACTTACCTTTTCTTGGTGTGTCCATTTGGTTTTTCATCAGGAGGCAGCTCAATAATGAGCTGGCAGGACTGAGCATGGTCAAAGTTGTTTGGTGTCTTTGGTGAGCACTGGGTGTCCAGCATAAACACCTGTATGGGTGTGCAAAGGTACATTTCAGAACTCCAGTGTCCTCTGCTTGACCTGTCAGGGATCAGCTGGATGACCCTGGGCAAGTTAAGCCTCATCTATAAAATGAGGATAATGGTTTCCTATTTGATATGTTTGTTGAGAGACTTAATTGATACATGTATATTACATATGCAAAGCATTAGAACAGAGGAGTAAATAATCAGGGTTAGCTGCTGACACTAATACTAGCAACACTACTAGTTCTACTATGTGACAATTCATTATACCCCAAATAACAGGTATTGGCACTTAATATTAACTACAAGTAAATAAAGAGGGGCTTTGTAAAAGATTCTCTCTGATTTTTGAGTCTTTGGTATCATATTCAACAGAGGGATAAAAAATGAGTTGGGACTTCTGTCAGGATTACTGGTGGTTACTGATAGGGCCACAGTGCTCTACTAGGCATGGCAGATGTGACTAAGAAAATACTGAGCACTATTGGCTCTCTGACCCAAATGATTTTCTTTTACATGACTTAAAATACTCTCACTACTTTCCTCTGGAAAGATTTTATATATATAATATATATATTATTTTGTATATTATAATATATAATATATCATATAATCTTATATATAAATAAGATTATTATATATGATATATATTAAATATATATATTTATAATATATATATTTTATATATATATATATATATATATAGGATCTCACTCTGTTGTCCAGGCTGGAGTGCAGTGGTGTGATCATGGCTCACTGCAGTCTCAACGTCCTAGGTCAAGTGATCCTCCCACCTTAGTCCCTCGAGTAGCTGGGACCCAGGTGTGCACCACTATGCCCATCTATTTTTTAAACATTTTTTTCCTTTTTTTTCAAGTTTTAAGTTTGGGGTCCACGTGCACTATGTGCAGATTTCTTACATAGGTAAACGTGTGCCATGGTGGTTTGCTGCACAGATCATCCCATCATCCAGGCATTAAGCCCAGCAACCATTATCTATTCTTCCTGATGCCCTCCCTCCCCCATCCCCCACAGGTTCCCAGTGTGTGTTGTTCTTTGCCATGTGTCCATGCATTCTCATCAATCAGCTCTCACTTATAAGTGAGAACATGCAGTGTTTGGTTTTCTGTCCCTGTGTTAGTTTACTGAGGATAATGGCCTCCAGCTCCATCCATGTTCCTGCAAAGCACATGATCTCATTCCTTTTTATGACTGCATAGTATTCCAGGTACCATATTTTCTTTATCCAGTCTATCACTTATGGGCATTTAGGTTGATTCCATGTATTTGTTATTGTGAATAGTGCTGCAATGAACATGTATGTGCATGCATCTTTATAACAGAATGATTTATATTCCTTTGGGTATATGCCCACTAATGGGATTTCTGGGTCAAATGGTATTTCTGCCTCTAGGTCTTTGAGGAATCACCACACTGTCTTCCACAATAGTTGAACTAATTTACACTCCCGCCAACAGTGTAAAAGTGTCACTTTTTCTCTACAACCTCACCAGCATCTGTTTTTTGACTTTTACTAATAGCCAATCTGAGTGGCGTGAGATGGTATCTCATGGTGGTTTTGATTTGCATTTCTCTAATGATCAGTGATGTTGAGCTTTTTTCATATGTTTATTGGCCACATGTATGTCTTCTTTTGAGAAGAGTCTGTTCAAGTCCTTTGCCCACTTTTTAATGGAGTTGTTTTTTCCTTGTAAATTTGTTTAAGTTCCTTGTCAATTTCATAGAGATGGAGTCTTACGGTATTGCCTAGGCTGGTCTTGCACTCCTGGGCTCAAGCAGTCCTCCTGCCTTGGCTGCCCAAGGTGCTGGGATTATAGGTGTGAGCCACCATGCCCGAGAAGGTTAGAATACTTTTAAAACATTTTCTTGCAAAATCTTGTAACAATTATCAGATTTTCAAATAATGAGTTATTTTAAGAGTGAATACATAAGGAAAATTTGGGATTGAGGAAGAAATAGAGAAGTATTAAGTAGTATTAAGTATTAAGAAGTGAAAGATTGTCCAGTTGTGGTGGCTCATGCCTATAATCCCAGCACTTTGGGAGGTTGAGGCAGATGGATCACTTGAGGTCAGGAGTTTGAGAACCAGCCTGGCCAACAAGGTGAAACCCCATCTCTGCTAAAAATGCAAAAATTAGCTGGGTGTGGTGGTGCACACCTGTAATCCCAACTACTCTGGAGGCTGAGGTAGAAGAATCACTTGAACCTGGAGGTAGAGGTTGCTGTGAGCTGAGATCACACCCTGCACTCCAGCTTGGGCAACAGAGCAAGTTTTAAAAACAACAATAACAATAACAACAGCAAGAACAAAAAACAAAACAACAAAACAGAAAAAGAAGTGAACAATTCACTAAACAGTTCTTGCTGTTCTTCTCCATTAATGATCTATTTCAGAAGATTCTCTTGCTGTATGATTGGACAGGGTTGCAGAGACCACTGCAGACACGTGTGTAAATGCTTTAGCCAGATGTACTAACTGCGTATTTAGAGCAGCTATCCCTTTGGAGGGCCACCTTCTTGGTTTCTCTGTTCTCACTTCTAGCTACGCCATTGCTGTAGCAGCCACAATTGCCATGCTGCTAGCAGTGGCTCTTCATTGCAGCCTTACAACCTTTCCTTCCCAACTTCTGCAGACTGGCCATGGAGGCTTCAGTGGGACATGCTGCCTTCCTTCAGAACCAGCAGAATTATCAAGTCCCAGATGTTAGGGCATGTGCTCAGCAGAGATGTGAGAAACCGAAGATAGAAGGTTCTTGTCCCACTACCTCAGGATAGCTGGGAAAAGCCCCAAAGAAGCCAGACCTGGCTAAGAAACTTCTCAACTGACTGAGTTCTTTACATGGGTAATCAGGGGATCCCAGATTATCAGTGTGCTAAGAGAAAATTTTATTAAGAATTTAAACAGATCTGGTAGAGAAAAGGGGCCTTGCCTTTTGAGTATAACCTCCAATTCATTTCTTCAAATTTAACTCAAATGTGACAGTTCAATTACATTTGTAAAACTTGTTTAATATTTTAAATACATACCATGCATACACATGCATATGCATATGCAAAATAGTTTCTTCATATGAAGACCCAATTCAGACATGTCTGTTGCTATTATATGATGGAATATTTAGCCAGTCAATGGTTGTTGGGAATTTAGTCCATTTCCATTTTTCACTACTATGAATAGCATGGTTATGATTATATATGAATTTGGGGATGGCATTTAGCTGGACTGCTGCTGAGAGTCACATCCAGGGTTTCCTAGAGGCAGACTGCCATGTCACTTAGGAGCTTAGGGCATATCTGTAGTTTGTGATAGTACTATATTCTTCCGATATTTCTGTGATTCAGTAACCTATTGATTCAACAAAGACATACTAAACATTTTCTCTAGGCCTTGCTCTAAAAATACCAAGGTAAATACACAGAATGTGTTCTCTGCTCCTCAGGAGCTGACAATCAAATTTTGTGACTTCTTACATGTGTCTCAAGAAGAGAAAGCCATTGATATATGATGATTCCTGCATGAGTGAATACACTTGAATTTTAATGCTACATTCAACTCAAATGTAGTAAGCAACTTTTAAATGTTAAGTTCTGTGTTGTGAATGAAAGATATAAGAAAAAAGCCCAAATAAGTTTGCCATTGTTAGGCACTCACAGTCTAGCAGTTAACAGTAATAGTTAAGCAAATACTTACAGATAGCTCAAGCAAGTTACGTACAAAGGACAGTGATTCTATTTGATCTGGGCACTGGAGGATGCAACAAGCAAGAGATGATGGACAGGAGGTAATGCTGTTGATTGGGTTCATGTCATTCCTGGCAAAGAATGGTACTGGCAAGAGTTGGGAGCAACAAAGTGTATGTCCCTCAGGGAATGAAAGGCAATTTGGTGATGCAAGACCTTGAAGGAAGGTCTCCCAACATGCATTTCAAGTTTCTAGAGGCCCTGAGATCAAAAACCCCTGCCCTTACCTGCTGGGCCATGGCTCGGATGCGCCAGTACTCGGCCTCGGCACTTGGGGAGGAGGATGGGGCCGCCACCCGCACCTGGCAGCCTTCCCCGCTGAAGCTCTCTGTGCCGCTGTGGAAGCAGCCCAGCAGGTCCTGGGGAGAAATAGCAGATGCTTACTGAGTGCATCCTGGTTCATGGGCCAGGCCCAGTCTTGGATCTGAGATCGTTACTGTGTCTGAGATAAAAGTACTGACCCAGCAACTTCTTTCTCACCCTCTGCAAGATCTAAAGTGAGGCTGCCTGCTCAGAGGAGGCAGAACCCATGTGCCCAACATGATAAGGGATCAGGAGCTAAAGACGGTTAGAACTGCTCCAGGGAGGGCTTCCTCCCAGTGATGTACCTTCACTGGCTTGAGTGTGGCAGAGAACGCATCTTGCAGGGCACAGCAGGCAAGCCTCCACATCTCCTCAGTGAACACAGGGCCTGCTGTCACAAGGACGTATCTGCCAAAAGAAACAAGTTGTTGTTTTTTTTTTGAGACGGAGTTTCAAAACAACATTGCTCTTGTTGCCCAGGCTGGAGTACAATGGCATGATCTTGGCTCACTGCAACCTCCACCTCCTGGGTACAAGCAATTCTCCTGTCTCAGCCTCCTGAGTAGCTGGGATTACAGGCATGTGCCTCCATGCCTGGCTAATTTTGTATTTTTAGTAGAGACAGGGTTTCTCCATGTTGGTCAGGCTGGTCTTGAACTCCCAACCTCAGGTGATCCACCCACCTTGGCCTCCCAAAGTGTTGGGATTACAGGTGTGGGCCACCGCACCCGGCCACATAGGAGTCTTGAATTCCATTTTGTTGCCACAAAATTTAGGCCATATGGACTCACGCATAGGTTTATTCTGCAGCTCCCTGCCAAGTCTCCCTGTCTCAACCGTCCAGTATTCCATTGTCAAAATACTACTTCCTAAACCATTTTAATATAGAAATATCAATGGATCCCCTCTACAAATAGGCCAATCATTAAGCGTAGACTTGTATGCAAGACTGTATATATTCTGTAGTGATTTTTGGATTCTAGTTCCATTTTCCATCACTCCTCTACAACTAACAAGCAAAACCAAACCCCAAACTCTTATTGTCACTTACAACTCTAATCTCAATACTATTTTGTTCTTCTGCTTGGAAAGTCCCCACCTCCCCCATGCCTGTCCACCTTAGGGGAGGTGACCAGTGTCACTGCTACAACGAGGTCCTTGCTTCCCTGTCACTATTTTTCATGTGACTCGCTCTCCCACGTGCCTGGCTTATTTCACTTAGCATAATAACCTCTAGTTCCCTCTATGTTGTTGTAAATGACAGAATCCCACTCCCAACTTTTTTTTTTTTTGAGATGGAATCTTGCTCTGTCGCCCAGGCTGGAGTGCAGTGGTGCCATCTCGTCTTACTGCAACCTCTGCCTCCCAGGTTCAAGCAATTCTCCTGCCTCAGTCTCCTGAGTAGCTGGGACTACAGGTGCCCACCACCACGCCCAGCTAATTTTTGTCTTTTTAGTAGAGACAGGGTTTCACCATATTGGCCAGGCTAGTCTCGAACTCCTGACCTTGTGATCTGCCTGCCTTGGCCTCCCAAAGTGCTGAGAATCCCATTCATTTTTATGGCTGAATAGTACTCCATTGTGTGTATGTACCACATTTCCTTTATGCATTCATCTATTGATGGACACAGATATGGTTTGGCTGTGTCCCCACCAAATCTCATCTTCAATTCCCATGTGTTGTGGGAGGGACCCAGTGAGAGGTAACTGAATCGTGGGGCCTGGTCTTCCCCATGCTGTTACAGGGAATAAGTCTCATGAGATCTGATGGTTATAATGAGTTTTCTCTGAGCCAGGGGTATAGCTCCAGTCCAAGTCTGAAAGCCTGAGAAGTGGGAGATGTAAGTACAGTCCAGGGGCAGGAGAAGACTGATGTTCCAGCTCAAACAGTCAGGCAGGGAAAGTACCCTCTTACTCGACCTTTTTGTTCTATTCAGGTCTTCAGCTGATTGGACAAGGCCCACCCACATTACGGAGGGCCATCTGCTTTGCTGTCTCCACCAATTCAAATGTTCTTCTCATCCAGAAAAATACCCACAATAATGTTTGGCCAAATGTCTGGGTACCCTGTGGCCCTGAACAAGCTCTCTCTTTGCCTGCCACTATCCATGTAAGATGTGACTTGCTCCTCCTTGCCTTCCACCATGATTGTGAGGCCTACCCAGCCACGTGGAACTGTAAGTCCATTAAACCCGTTTTTCTTCCCAGTCTTGGGTGTGTCTTTATCAGCAGCACATGAAAATGGACTAATACTGACACTTAGGTTGCTTCTAAATTTTGACTATTGTGAACATGGGAGTGCAGCTATCTCTTCGATATAATTATTTCCTTTAATTTTGAGTATATACCCAGCAGTGGGATTGCTGATCATATGATAGCTCTATTTTTAGTTTGAGGAGCCTCCAAACTGTTCTCCATAGTGGTTGTACTAATTTACATTCCCACCAACAGTGCACGAGGGTTCCCTTTTCTCCACATCCTCTCCAGTATTTGTTATTACCTGTCTTTTGGATAAGCTATTTTAGCTGGCATGAGATGACATCTCATTGTACATTCAATTTGCATTTCTCTTATGATCACTGATGCTGAGCACCTTTCCATATACCTGTTTGCCTTTTGTATGTCTTCTTTTGAGAAACTGAATCAGAATACTTTGTATAATGTCTTACACAATACACATTTGCTGACTAAACACTGAAATGAAGAATTATTAGCACATAGTCATTTTTAATTACAAAAGTCTACTTACAGAAAGCAATTCAAAAAAGCTGATTCCTACCACAAAGACAATTTAATTTCCTTAGATTTTTAAATAACTCCAGCTTTGTGGAGAGTCAGGAAAGCTTTTTCTCACCTAATACAGGAGCAGCCCACTCTGGAGATGGTTTCAGTGGGCTTGGCCACACAGGCGACCAGCAGCTCGAAGAGGTCTTTCAGCATGGTATTGATCATGCTCTCGTACCTGATGTCTATGGGAAACAGCAAAATCACAGTTTCATACAGGTCTAGTGTAAAGGGATAGATTGAAATGGCCATCTACAGCAACAGAGGAAAGTCTGAATGATAAGCAAATATCTGGGAGAAAGAAATAGAACAATGAGAAAAATGGCCATATCCTCCTCCAATCCCCCACCCCCCAAAAAACCCAGTAAAACAATAATTTTCTTGGATTTTTACCCAATTTCAGCATGTTTCATCCACTTCTAGAGAAATAAAAATGAAATATGCAGTTCACTTTTATGTGTTGCTATATCAGAGTCTCACACTGTGCAAAGCAATGACCTGGCCAGGGACATGTGGCTACCCTTAGGGATATGGTTACCAGTTACCACCTACATGTAGAAAAACTCACTTGTTTTCTTTTGCAATTCGTGTTCTTTTTTTGCAGGGTAAATTGTCCTTACTAAACTTAATAGAGACACAGTTTCTTTTATTAGCTTTGTTACTCTCCCCTGGGGTCAACATCCTCCTTAGTTTCTCTGTCCTCTCCAGCAAGGGGACCTCTTCCCTTACACCATGATATGCCAGTCCTTCGAGTTATAAGCTCTGTGGGTAGCAGCAATGTTTCTTCTGCTCCTGGACACCCAGATCTTCACACATGTGGCTCCACTGGGACCACAGTGAACACATTCCCTGCCTCTAGGTCCCTCTCCATCTGCTGACTTCAGCATACTGTCCATCCTACACTTTCACAGCCTTTACAAAGTGCCATCAGTATTAAGAAATTTCTCTTCATCCCTAGCCTGTTAAGCTACTTCTTGCCCACAGTGGAAGCCTTTTCTAAAACCCTGCCTCCTCCATTTAGCCTCCCCAGATGAAGCAGGGTGACAAGATATACCCCCTAACCCCCCACAGGCTACAGGGATATTGCTTCTTTTTTATTTATTATATACTTGAATTTGCCTCCCTTCTCCTAATGCACAGGTACCCCAGACCTCTTATTAGGCACTTTGTTTTCCACCACACATATATTTTGAGCATTCGGTTTGAAAATTTTGTAGAAGACACATGGGTATGAATTTTCTCTTTGAAAATCTATTAGAAGGCTGACACTGACCATGTTGTTCTATTTTAATAATTCCCAGGGCAAAAACCCTGCATTAGTATTTGCATCAGGTATTTACTATGCCGTTTTAGCTGACGGTGCTGTCTACCAAAGAAATACCCAGCATGAACTGCTCTGGCGCTTCAGATACCTGAATGTAGAAAGCTTTGAATGTGCTCCACCACCAGCTCACAGGACAGACCAATAGCATGCTTGAAATTGGCAGAGGCCACATCCCAGTAGGAATGGTCTTTATGGCTACGGCGGAGCCAAAGGGACATCACAGGAAGCAGGAGGTGAACCACTGCATAGATGCCAAACCCTGGTCCTGAAAAAGAAAAGTCAGCATAGCAACAACCTGTAATAAATGGGAAGCTCTTTGCCTCCACCTGGCATTGTTGCTCTCTTTTGAAGGATCCCTACATTTGCTGAGAAAGTGCAGGGAAAAAGAATTTACTGCTGATGGGGGAATATATGGTCTTCAGTGGCATTTTTCCTTTTTGTTTCTGCAGGGTTTTAGTTATGTGAGCAATATGTGAATATACTCCTAAAACATTCAAAAATATTGCTGGTAAAGCTAAAATATCGCCTGCTCAACTCCTAGGACCCAAATGTAAACACACAAATACACATGTGTGTATAAGAAAATACCCTTTGAAATCATATATTTATGAAATCTAACTACATGGGGAAATACAGAGTTTATTTTATTTTATATAAATAAGATAATGTAAACTTTGGTCTGCATACTCATTTTTTTTTTACTTAACAATAGTGTTATAGCTGGCCACAGTAGTGCACACCTGTAATCTCACCTACTCTGCAGGCTGAGTCATGAGGATTGCTTAATTAAGCCCAGTAGTTTGAGATTAGCTTGGGTAACATTGTGAAATCCCCTCTCCTAAAAAAAAAAAAAATTAGCTGGGCATTGTGGAGTGCTGGTAGCCTCGGCAACTTGGGAGGCTGAGATGGAAGGATCGCTCGAGCCCAGGAATTTGAGACTGCAGTGAGCTATGATCACACCACCTCCTCCAGCCTGGGCAAGACCACCATTTCAAAGAAAACCCCAAAAGTGTTAGAGATTATTCTTTGTCAGCAAATTTGGATATTCCTCACTTTTATTGCCACATACTATTTCTGTTGTATTTACATACAGCAGTTTACTTATCCATTTCCTTACTGATGAACATTTAAGGTATTTCTAATTTTTTGTTTTATAGACTACGCTATAATGAAAATCATTGTGCTTCTTTGCTCAACATCATGGAAATGTTGATGAGTTTTTGAAGTTATAATGACAAAAGCAAAGCATCCATTTTATAATAAATATGGAAATTACATGAGAATACAAAAGAAAAAACTCATCTAGAGATAATCACATTTTGATATATTTCCTTTTAGGACTTTTTGAAAGCATGTGTGTTTGTATTTATAATTGCATAAAATTTCATATAGTTGAGACTGCACTCCATAGTATGTGCATTTTAATATAATGCTTTGTAATTATTCACATCATTAAATATTCACAAATATTAATTTTAATGCCTGCAGAATATTTACCACAATTAACCGCTTCCCAATTAGGGTGTTCATAATTTTTTGGTATTCAAGATGTTTCAGCAAACATCTTATATATACAATTTTGTCTTTATTATTGATAATTTCCTTAGATGACAGGCTCCTAGGAACAGAAGTGGATTAAATGCTCTTTACACACATTTAGTGGCAATCAATGTGAAAGCAGAAAATGGTACTGATGAGTAAAACAGATTTAGAAATAGTAGTTTGCAATTCTATAAAATACCTACTTACTCTTTGATGGAAGGCTTTTGACTTTTTAACATGTGGGAGTATGTATGGTTTTTTGGTTAAATAATATAAACTTTGCTATAGATTTTGAAACAGTATCAATTATCAAGTCTTCATTATAGTGAGTACAGACCTCTTAGTATGAAAGTGGCTTCATTTAGGGTCTGATTGTTAGTAAAATACTTAAATTTCTATAAAAAAGGTTTTTTTATCTTCAGAAATTGGGATGAATAAATGTATATACTAAAATTGATTAATTCACAACAAGAAATAAATTCCTAAAAGTCATGCTTTTCTTATACTCTCAGGGGCCTTGTACTAGGCGAGCACTAAATGTCTTTTTCCAAATCTAATCACCTACAACCTTTACACAAACGGGGTGTTGCTACTTTAATACTGCATATAGTTGCAAGTGGTTTGTTTATATTACTGCAAGACCCAGTAAGCCCAACCAACAGCCCAGGGCCCAAGAGTATGTGACTGTGAGATCCTGCCTCAAAGGAAGGCTGTGACCATGGAACACAGCAAAGCCAAATGGCTCATGGAGACACTGATACCATAGCCTTGATCTGATTAACGTGGAGCTCCTGCACATCCAACTAACTGGCCACCACACAATCCTTGTAACCAGACTTCTAGGAAGACAGGTAAACAATACACAGGCCATATCTTAAACATCACTACCATTCAACAAACATTTATTGAGCATCTCTTACGTGTGAAGCTTTGTACTAAGTCTAGGAAACAGTGAAAACAGGCAGACACCTGCAGAAATACCCTCGTGAAAAGAGTTATATGTATATCCACTCCTCCAAAAGATGGACATAGAAATATTTACCTGGTGTTTTGGTCACATCTCTCAGTAGCTCAAAGAGTAAATCCAAAGTTGGTGGTTGGTGCTGCCGTGGACAATTGGACACAGCCGCTGTCAGCTGCTCCAGCAGGATTATCCAGACTTCTATCAGACCTGGAAACCAAAAAGCAGACTGGTATGAAATCCAGTTAGACACAATGAATAATCATCCTAAGATCCAATTAAACATTGTATGTAAACTGCCAAGTGCTATACAGATGTGAGCCATCACCCAGCGTGTTAGCCTTCAGTGGCCATAGACATGAACAGATGATGATTTATGTGTTCTAACAAAGTCAAGGGGGAAAAGTACTCACATTTCCTCCTTCTTCCCCTTTAATAAAAAGGTGATAGGGTAAGGAAATTCTACTACGTTGAAATGGCTGTCAGGTTTCTTGGGAGCCGACGATAACAAATAAGATATCCATCCAGTTCTATCACCTTCATCTATCTTTTCTTAAAAATGATTTTATTGTGGTAAATATGTAGAGCAGAAAAAGCCATTTTAGCCATTTCTATGAGTGTAATTCAGTGGCATTCATGACAACAATGTTGTGCAACTATCACTGTTTCCAAAACGTTTTCATCTCAAACAGAAACCCCGGAGCTATTAAACAGTTACTGTCCTTTCTTCCTCACTCCAGTCCCTGGTACCTCTAATGTACTATAAATTATGGTTGATTTTGAGGTGTGATAGTGGTGTCGTGCTTATGCTTGTTATCTTTAAAGAACACACACTGAAACATCTACAGATGAAATGCTATGTTGAGGATTTGCCTTAAAATGTGGAGAAAGAGGAAGAGAGAGTAAAGATATACATGATCCAAGATTAGCCATAAACTGATAGTAGTTGAAGCTGCGTGATAAGTCCATTATATTATTCTGTTTAGTTCTGTATATTCTACATATGTATATCTGTATATGTATGTATTTTGTATATTCAAAATATACAAGTTTTGCATGTTTGACATTTCCATAAGGGGGAAAATTTAATTATTTGCCTTTGAAAACCAGAGGAATAATATCTGAGAATGTATCAATGTTGAGGATTGTTTAATTTTATAAAACGAATTTAAAGCTGTTACTGATGTTTGTTCTGATTTACCATGTCTACATAATGATAACTTTAAAGTCCTTGATACATTGATTATGTAGAAAACTTAAGGGCTGGACTGAACTGTATCCCTTAGAAGATGGGGTTCCCAGAAAAAAAATCAAAGATTTGCACAAATGGGAAAGAGAATGCTCGCCGTTACAGACACAACCATTTAAAACTGTTTTAAAGAATGTATTATAGATAAACAACATAAGCTTCTGCTTATCGTTATCTGGGTTTGAGGTTTAAATGCTAAAAATTGTTCTTATCTAATCATTAAACTGAAACCTCTATTAGGCAATATCTAGCCAACTTCCAATACTTTAATTGTTCTCTATATTAGATATTCTTTCCTATAATTACTCCTCACAACTAATCTGAACTTGTGAGATTTTGTTGCTTATAATCTCCATCAAAATTCTTAAATCTCTTGGCCACTCCCATAAAATCTGTAACACCAAAATAAAACAAAACAAAAAACCTTCCCCTCAAAAGTCCTTTTATAAAAGAGTTTGAAATAACCTATACCCAGAAATTAGACCCATGTGAGGGTATGATATCCAATTCTAGATGTAGAACAGGACAGGGTCTTCTGAGAAAGAAGACAGAAGGCATGAGCATGAGTTAATCCATCTGAAAATGATCCACAGTTACTAGTTTGAACTCTGATTCACAGGAGATCACATGGGACCTAATCTGAAACAAATTCTTTAAAATCATTCCTTTCATGAACCTTCAGCTTCAACAGTCACAAATAGATTCTCTCTTTAGTAATGGCTTCATTTCCCCAGTCTCTAGCCAAATAGTCCTGAAGGAAGTAATTATATAACGATTTGTTTTCTAAAAGATATTAAAAGACAATTACCAGTCAATTTAAATACCCAGGCACCAATGGAACTTCATTCCAATTTGCTAAAGTCAAGAGAATTGAGAGAAACTACTTAAGTGGAATCTGCAAATCTGCCCTAGTTTTAGACAGAGGAATCCATTTTAAAAGGATGGGTATAGAGGCATCCATTGTAAAGTGATGTTTTTGGAAAGTCCATGGAAACTTTAAGCAGACTTATTGTGACAGAATTTCAAAAAATAACCACAAAAGTAGATGATCATTCTTATGATCTACGCTATGGTTTGAATATTTCCCCCAAAGTTCACATGTTCATGGAAAGTGCAGTAAAAGATTATTCTGGAGTCTTACGATTTAATGTCTGCTCTGTTGTGTTTTTGGACTCACCTGGGGCATGTTACTCCTGTCTTGCCTATTTCTCCCCCTTCAGAATGTGAATGTCTATCCTATGCCTTCCTACCATTGTATTTTGGAAGCATGCAATTTGTTAATTTCACAGGCCCACAGCTGGAGAGGAATTTGCTTTGGAATGAATCATGTCTTTAGCCTCAACTGTACCTGATTTAGATGAGACTCTTGAGGTGCTGCTGAAACAAGTTAAGGCTTTGGGACTATTGGGATGGAATTAATGTATTCTGCATGTGAGAAGAACCTGAATTTTGGGGGCCAGAGTGGGATGCTATGGTTTGAATGTGTCCCTCAAAATTCATGTGTTGGAAACTTTATCCATAATGCAACAGTGATTATGGCAATTAGGTGATTAGGTCATGAGGGCTCTGTCCTCATGAATGGATTAATATTGTTATGAACGTGAGTTAATATCTTGGGAGTGGGTTCCTGATCAAAGCATGAGTTTGGCCCCCCTTCCTTTCCCCACCACCCTGAACTCCTTGAGTGCTCTCTTGCCCTTCCTCTGTGGAATGACACAGCAAGAGGGCCCTCATCAGAGGCAAGCCCCTCAACTTTTGGCTTCTCAGTCCCAGAACTGTAAGAAATAAATCCGTTATTTATTACTCTCAAGTATTCTCTTACAGAAGCACAAAATGGACTAAGACAATTCCCAGAAGCTTAAGGTACTTCATTTATGACTTAAGCTTCTGGGAATATGAACACGGCAAATAACCTAGTTTAGTCCAATCAATTAACTTACCGGTGTCATCATCAAAATCAGACAGGACTGATTCAATTCCATCCTCACTGCTGGCTGACTGTTCCTGAAGCCTTCGAGGCAAGCTGGCAAGTCTCCCACTAAGGAATATTGGCTTCAAGGGCATTTTGTAGATTTTGGCCAATAACTAAATTTAAAAAGAAAAAAAACCCTGCAATTATATATTGGAAAAAGCTGCATTGTGGGTTTTAAAGAATAATGAAATTATACACTAGTACTAAAGGGAGATGGGAAACGGGACATTGAAAATTTGATTGTTCGTGATTTGGATTTATAAAGGTAGCTTAAAAAGAGGCATTTATCCCATGAAGCAGATGAAATAGCATTCAATGGCAACAAAAAAGTAGAGGGAAAAAGGATCCTATGGATAATTATTCAGTATTTTAATTACATATGAGTTTTATAGATGTTTATAAACCTACCGAGGGAACCATGAAACATGTCAAGAATTTTTGCCTATGGGAAAAAGTGTTCTTTGGGGATCACTGAGAAGACAGTCCACAGACAAATGAGATACCAGACTCAGATTTCTCCTTCCCTTGACTCAACCTCTGAGGGAACACAGGGGCAAGAGCAGTTGGAGAAATGAAGGAGGCTGGGGCCGGCAGGGGACAGGAAGGTCTCAGAAGCAGAGCCAGCAGAGTGGCCTGGGCCAGCAGAGTGGCCTGGGCTCTTTATTCCCGTCTTGGGACTAGCGCCCAGGCACCCCTGAGCTCTCTGTTACTGGGACAGACTTCCAAAGACCCTTATGTCTTCATGAATTAGAATCCTGCCATGTCCACATTGTTCAAGGAACCAGGGCTATGAGCAAACAGACAAAATTCCTGTCCTGGTGGGTCTCACCAACTACAGTCCTTTCACAAGTAATTAAATTTTAGACATAAATGCTACAGGGAAAACTAAACAGGTGGTACTAGAAATAGTGAAGGCCAGGCATGGTGGCTCACGCCTGTAATCCCAGCACTTTGGGAGGCTGAGGCCGGCGGATCACTTTTGATCTGGAGTTCGAGACCAGCCTGGACAACATGGCGAAACCCCATCTCTACTAAAGATACAAAAATTAGCTGGGTGTGGTGTTGCATGGCTGTAATCCCAGCTACTTGGGAGGCTGAGGCAGGAGAATCACTTGTGCCTGTGAGGCAGAGGTTGTAGTGAGCTGAGATTGCGCCATTGCACTCCAGCCTGGGCGACAGAGCAAGACTCTGCCAAGAAAAAAAAGTGACCACATAGGGGGAATCTTGGCAGGAATTGGCAGATCCTCTAGCTCTGCACTCTGAGGAGGTGACATGTCAGATGAGATCTGGGAGATAAAGAGTGGCACTTAGAATCCGGGGAGAGTCCCAGTGGAGGAAGCAGAGGTGGCCCTGCGCAGCAGTGAGCAGGTGTATTTGGGGGAGGGCAGAAGCTCAGCGTGGCTGTAGCACTGTGAGGGAGAGGGGAAGATGTGAGGGTGGAAAGAGCCGGGCAGGGGTCATATTATACGGGGCCTGGGGGAGGCAGCTGGATGTAGAACCTAGGGCTGTGTGTCCCTTCTAAAGCCATGGGCTCAATGCTATCACCCAGGAAGAGGTTGTACATAGATCCCCAAAGAGGCCCAAGGACACCACCGGAGAAGACAGGTGAGAAAGTATTGACAGAGGGGTGTCACTGAAGCTTAGAGAGAAATGGCTTCAGGGAGGGGGCATGGTGTCAGGCAGAGAAGGATGGACACAATGATGGTCACTGCTCACTATGACAGTGCTGTTTTATTCTGTCTCTTTACTACGTTTAAAAAAATTTTTTTTGAGAGGGAGTCTTGCTCTGTCACCCAGGCCGGAGTGCAATGGCATGATCTCAGTTCACCGCAACCTCCACCTCCTGGGTTGAAGCAATTCTCCTGCCTCAGCCTCCCCAGTAGCTGGGATTACAGGCGCATGCCACCATGCCCGGCTGATTTTTGTATTTTTAGTAGAGATGGGATTTCACCATGTTGTCCAGGCTGTTCTTGAACTCCTGACCTCAGGTGATCTGCCCACCTCTACTAGATGATCTTGACTGAACATGTCTTTCTTTTATTAATGTCCCTCTTTATTACTTGCACCCCTGCTCTCCACTTTTTGGTGTCCTCAGGAAGACTTCCTGTGACTTCGTGACCCCTTCCCCTAAAACCATGCAAATATAAAAATTCTGGTAGTTTGGGCCTCTGAGTGTGAAGGAGAAGTTTCAGAGACCTCAGCATCCAATTGCGTGTTCTAGTATGTTTTCATTATTTTCTTTCCTTCACGGAAAAAGGAGGGACAAAAACTTATACTCCACATCTGTGCCCCAGTCTCCTCAGCTGGCAAAGTGTCTCTCTTGGGCTTCAGCAAAAGACCCCCACGCGTGTTTTGGGAGCATCTTCCAAGGCAGGTTTCCAGGCTCAGAGCCCAGCTGGACCATTCCCCTACCTGAGAGCAGCGCCTGAGGTAATCCAGGGCTGGGAGGCACAGGTCTGTGGACGGGGCTCCAGGTGCCGGGGCACAGTCTCCAATCTCTTTACAGTCCACTTCCCCTAGGGGCGGCATGGGGGACAGAGACCAACACTGTTACCCTTGCGGGCCCTCTTCTAACAGGAGACCTGTTTACTCACATAGCACTAGTGCACCAAATATCTACTAAAAGAGAGTGGGAGAAAAGGAGAAGAATGACTCCAAATTGCACAGCCCTGAGGAAAATCCTTTCGGCCATTCTCCCGGCTGTATGTGCACATGTTAAATACAATTGGGACCATACTCTACCTATCATTTTGTTGAGATTATATGTTTTAGTAACTCCCCCTTCCACTAAACAATCATCATCTCCTCTCTATTCTACCACAGTACTTCCAGCAGCTGGACAGTGTTCCTTTGTACACAGGCACATGGCAAATCACATTTCTGGGACCTGCTGTTGGATGGAGTGACTTTTGATGACAGAGGACAATCCCAGAGACAAGTCCTGGATTGGGTTGGAATGAAGCACTTCCCTCTCTCCATTTGGGAAAGGATTTCTTTCTCTGCCAGTGCGTGGCACTAAATGGTGATGATAAATGAGGTCTCTCGGAAGAGTCTAAACATCTGGGGTTTGGGGACAGAGACTACTTAATTGCATTTACATGATTTTTCTATTTTTTGTACATATCTAGAGATTTAACATGCCTGTAGAGGGTTATCTGGGGTTTTCTATAAGAATGGTAATTGTGAATTATTATTTTTCTTCTTGAATCTATTTCTATACATTTAATCAAATCATTTCATGTGTTGTAATTGTTTCTAATTGTCTACAATTGTAAGAGCTAGAACCCTCCCCTGTGAGTAAACAGACATAATTACTAGGCATTAACTAAAATTCAGAAGGGAAGAGGCATGTTTTTCCTTAAAAAAACAGAAAACACTTCTTATGTTTTCGATCAAGGGTTAGCAAATGTTTTTGGCAAAGGGCCAGAGAGTAACTACTTCAGGCTTTGCAGGTCACGCTGTCTTTATTGCAACCGCTCAACTCTGCACGGTAGTATGGAAGCAGCCATCGATGAATGAACATGGCTATGTTTTAATACAACTGTACTTATAAAAACTGTGGGCCATAGCTTGCCAACTCCTGGCTTAGATGAACACATTTTATAATACAGAAACAGACCAGGTCAAATTCATGTGGAAATAAGCAGGTGAGGATTAACCATAAATTCATTTCCTACCCATGATTACAGCAGGCGTCCCAAAGGTTTAGACCGTGGCTGCTGTGTATTTGAAAGCATCCAAGTCTATGTGGATGGCACTCCCTGGAGCCAGGCAGGACACAGGCACCATGACTATACAGGGGACTCTGCTTTTTCCACTGACCCCAGGCCCCATACAAATAACTCCACCTTATAATTCACAGAAGAAAACAGGCTGTTTTCGATGTCCTCTGTATGATGGTTTTAGATGTCAACTTGACTGGATTAGGGGAGACCCAGATCACTGGTAGAACATGATTTCTGGGTGTGTCTGTGAGGTTGGTTCTGGAAGAGGTTGGCATTTGAATCAGACTGAATAAGGGAGCTCCACCCTCACCCAATGCAGGCAGACACCATCTAATCAGCCAAGGCCCAGGGAGAACAAAAGGCAGAGCAAAAGAGAATTCTCTGTGTTTCTGTCTCTGGAGCTGGGATACCCTTCTTCTCCTGTCTTAGAACTACAGGTTCTCAGGCCTCTTGCTTTGGACTAAGAGTTATACCATCAGTGCCCCTCGTTCTGGGGCCTTTGAACTTGAACCGAGCCATGTTATCAGCTTCCTGGTTTCCAGCTTGCAGATGGTCTATCGTGGGACTTCTCAGCCTCCATAATTGTATGAATGTTGTAAGATTTCCAACCTTAGATTAGTCAATATTATATTAAATAATTGGCCTTATGCAGAAACCTATTCTCAGTGTCATATGATTAGCAGCTTGAGTTTGATTTCCCAACTTTTTAGCGAAAGTTAAGAATTCCTCCTACACCAGGCTTTAAGTATAAAATATATTTTCTAAGTATAGAAGTCCCCCTTCTTGAAAGCCTCGTGTATTTCAGAAACTACCAGATGATTTTCTACTTAATTTAGAAACACCTTAACAAAATAGATTCTCACTATACAACATGACCTGCCATAGCAGATTTTTATATAGCACAGGTTTATCCGGGGTGAAATGAAAGGGAGGGACACTTAGTTAAACCAAAAGGTTTATAAAAAACTTAACATTTTCAGAGTTTGCATAGAGTGTGATTAGACCTGGAGCCTGAGAACCTTTTACAAAGGGAAAATATAAGGTTGATATTATTTGACAATAGTTAGTATAAAATAATAAATAGATTAAAAATATGCTATAAGATATTCCATGAACACAATGAAAAGTATCAACCTTGGACAAAATTCAAGCTGCTTTCACAGTAAGTTTTTGCTTTTGAGTACACAACATCACCATCTGCTTGTATCCCAGGATGCGTGCTTGTTCCAGGCAGTCAGTGGGTCCTTTCTCCAGCCACGGAGCCACCCTGGAAAGGGTCCTCGGCAGTTACAAGGCATGAGAAGAGGGTTCTGCTTACCCAGTCCTTTGACAAACTTCATAAGGCACATGATGTAGCTTGTGGCTGCATTAGCAAAGACCTGGATGTTGTCGGTATTGAGAAAAGCTTCAAATACATCAAACACTGGAGCTTGGCCTTTTCCTAAGGGAGGAAGATTATAGAATTGTAAGAAAGTAAGTTTCTGCCCTCGGGGTTGCCAGGGTTGCCCATATTCCCAGCACCTTCCACTGAGACAGATCTTGAGAAAGATCTACTGGGGAGATGCCTGGGTTTTTTATTGGATCATTGGCTTGACTCCAGTGCGGTGCTCAGCTCTGCCGGCAGGGGAGCAGCTCAGCAGAGAGATGAGTGCCGAGCTGAGGCAATGTGCTGGTCTAAAGAGCAGGGAACCACGTGGCCTCTGGAATGCTACTGCACAGGTATTTGTAGATTATCTACAGGACATGGCAGGGCAGGTTTAGATAGACCTTTGGTGGCATATCTGAGTTTCTTTATATCTATGCAGAAAAAGACCACAGAAGGCCTGAGACCACTCTCCTTTTAGAAAGCTTGCTTGCAAAATTGGCCTTCAGCTGGTGTCTGGGAACTCAGCTCTCAGAGTACTCCCAGGCCACAGTTAACTGATAAGAGTAGTTCACCGTCCTAGACTGTTCATGCAAACCATATGGTTTATGCTGAACACCTGCTTTCCTGTTGGGAGTCTGGGATTTTGGTATGTGCTAGGCAAGGGGTACATAAGTGGTCAGTCCCCAGCTAGATCTCTAATGGGCTTCCACGGGCAGAAACATTGCAAACATGTTGCTGTGCTTTCACTGCTGGGGGAAGAATGTGTTGTGCGTGATCCCTCCTGGGAGGGCGAGAGCACAGGGAGGCTGGTGCGTAGATTCCTCCAGACTCTGTCTGTGTCATTCCTTTTCATAATCTGCTGTGTCCTTCCTACATTGCTAAAACTTAGTCATGAACTGTATAATAAATCTCAACATAATATGCTGGGTCCCATGAATCCTTCTCGTGGGTTTCTGAGTTTAGGGGTGGTTTTGGGAACCTCTGAGACAACACTCCTGGGCCCTGGGCATGCTTTGTGGGTACCCATCCATTTCCAGCAGACTGAATCTCCCTAATTCTGGTTACTCTGTGTTATGATACTTTTCTGCTTCTTACCAGCAAATGGATAACATTTTTCTTTTTGGCTTTAGAAATGAACTCAACACAGCAATGCATAAGTGAAACAACAGAAATCTCTCAGCCTTATTGCCCAATTGTCAGCAAGAACAGGGCCTGACAATGCTCAGGGCTCTCAGCCTGCTGGCAGAACTCAGAACTCATGTTCCTGCTACACCACATTCTTTCCTGCTGATAAAACATGGCTGACAATCTGTCTTCCCTATTGTTCAACTGGTTTTTTTTTTCATAGCATGAAACTTGGCACAGAGAGTTAATGCTGAATAGCAAGAATCATCCAAACATTCTTACCCATGGAGTAGTCACCAACCAGGTACTCCTTCACCTCCGACTTGTTCCCGCCGTGCACTGTTTCCAGAGCGCTGAACAAGGGTCTCCATCCGGACTGGATCTGCGTGGAACACACTTCAACCAGCTCACCAATGGATGTCACAACCTGGCAGATGCAAAGCAAGGGGCACTTAAAGTCCTCTCCTTAAAAGGAGCAGAATTTCTGGGAAGGGTGATATAGTTCTCTGTCCCCTATTTTGGAGTTAATTTTAGTGAAAAGGAAAAACCAGAATAGACAAACTCACTCAAAAATATTCTGAATAATCTGCCTTATTGTATTAATTTGCATTTCACTAATGACTAATGCTACTAAGCAACTTTTCACATCTTATTAGTCAAATATTTTGTTGTTTTAAAAAATTGGGTTCATGTCTTCTTATTTTCTTTTTTGTTTGTTTGTATTTAGAGTTCCTTATATATTCCCAAGATACAATTTGCAAATATTTTTCCACAACTTTGGGCTTTTTAAAAGTTTTGTTTTTTAATGGTGTCTTTTGAAAATTAAAAGTTCTTCATTTTGGTGAAGTCCAATTCATCCATTTTTCTTTTAATGGATCACATCATGACCCATTTTGAACTTTTTAAAATATGGTGAGAAGTAAAGGTGTAAGTTTATTTTTATCACATACATTCAAGCACAATTTGCTGAAAATATCCCCTCCCATGATTGAATTGCAATGGTATCTTCGTCAAAAATCAATTGATTATAAACATGAGAATTTATTTCTTTACTCTTCAGAACTATAGGTCTGTCTTCAAACCAATACCACACTGTGTTGATTACTGAAATTTTGAAATCAGGTAGTGTAAATTTTCAAAATTTGTCTTCTTTTTCAAGTTTGTTTTCTCTATTATATTCTTTGCAGTTTCATATAGATTTGAGAATTACTTTGACAATGTCTTCAAAAAGGTCTACTGGGATTTTAATCAGAATTTCACTGAATCTATACATCAATTTGGGGAAATTTGCTGTTTTAAAAATATTGAGTCTTTCAATCCATGAATATGGTATATCTCATATTTATTTGAATCTTTAATTTCTCTCAGCAATGTTTTGTAGCTTTTGTGTACAGGTCTTGAGCTTCTTTTGCTAAATTTATTCATAAACATTTTATCATATTTGATGTTGTTTTGAATGGAATTGTTCTTACTTATCTTTGGATAATTTATTTCTCATATATATAAATTCAATCGATTTTAGTATGTTGATCTTGTATGCAGTGACCTTGCTCGACTAGAATTTTTTTGTAAATCCCATATAATGTTCTATATATAACCGCATGTTGTCTGTGAACTAAAACAGCTTTACTTTTCGTTTCAAACCTTGATGTCTTTAATTTCTTTATACAATGAGTAAAAGTTAAAGTTGAGCAGAAATAGAGAAGACAGAAATCCTTGTCTTATTACTGATTACAAGAGAAAAACACTCAGTCTTTCATCATTAAGTTGATGTTAGATGTGGGATTCTCAAAGATGCCCCTTATCTCATGGAGGAAATACCTCTAATTCCTCTTTTCTTAAAAGGTTTTGTCAAAAATGGGTGATGAATTTTGTTAAATGTTTTGTCTATATCAAGATGATCGTGTGGTTTTAATCTTTTATTCTACTAATTGACTGTGAGCTGTTAAACCAATCTGACATTGCTGGGATGAATTCCATATGCCACAATGTTTAATCTTCTTTCTTTATATATTACAGCATTTATTTTGCCTTTTTTTTTTTTTTTTCTTTTTGAGACAAGGTCTCACTCTGTTGCCCAGGCTAGAATGTAGTGGCATGTGATCATGGCTCACTGCAGTCTCAACTTACTGGGTTCAAGGAATCTTCCCACCTCAGCCTCCTGAGCAGCTGGGACTACAGGAATGCATCACCATACCCAGCTATATGTATTTTTTTTTTTTTTGTAGAGATGGGGGTCTCACTATGTTGCCCAGCATGGTCTCAAACTCCTAGACTCAAGCAAACCTTCTGCTGTGGCCTCCCAAAATGCAGGGATTACAGGTGTGAGCCACTGTGCCTGGCCAATAATTTTTAAAGGAATTTTTTGTCTAATTTCATAAAGAATATTGGTCTATAGTTTTCCTTCTTGTGGCTTTGGTATCACAGAAATGAGAACTCATAAAATGGGTTTGGAGGTATTCCTTCCTGCTTTATTTTCTGGTAGAGCTTGAGTAGGGTTGCTATTATTTCATCCTTAGTTTGTAGATTCACCAGTGAAACCAACGGACTTGGGGTACTGTGGGGAGGTTTTTTTTTTTTAAATGTATGAACCTTTGCTTTATTCAATTTGTTAAACAAGAACTGATTAAATTATTTCCCCCCTCCCCATAACAGTCATGGAAAACATGTCACTTGTTTGAAAGAACAATACCATTAGTTACAAAATTTAATTGTAAGGATCAAGCAGAGGTTATTGGTCTAACCAATCCACATTGACAGCTTTGAAGTGTTCAGATGCTAGTTTTAAAATAAAGGTGACAAATACCAATCACATTCTCATATTACTGTTCAGGATCTACATAAACTTGGTTCTGGAAATAGTTCAATACACAAAGGTATGAGAATAACACTGTAATCACCGGTGATCAAACCAAGGGTGTAATTTTACAAATCACTTTTAGTAAGAATCAGTTCTAACATTTTAAAAGTCTAAATGTACATAAAACTCAAAGCAATGTATTTTTTCTACTTGAGACCAAAATAAGTTTCCTTTTTCCTATCTAAGCATAATTCTTTAAGATGAATCTGAATTCACATGACATACCTTGTCAAACTTTTCCAAAGAATTTTAAACCCTGCTTTAGACACAAATTCTTACATTATGTATACATACATTTTTCTTTTACATATTTTTTCTTCAAAGACTAATGACAAGTTTATGAGGTTAACAGACCTTTAATGTGCAAACATCACCACAATCTAATTTAAAAACAATTTTACTTACCCCCTCAAAAACCTCAGTACCCATTTGCAGTAATTGCCTACTCCACCACCCCACCCCACACCACTAATGTACTTTTTGTCACTATAGATTTTCCTATTCTGACATTTCATATAAATGCAGTCATATAACATATGGTCTTTGGTGACTGGCTTTTCTCATTTAATGTAATGTTTTCAAGATTCATCCATGTTGTACATATATCAGTACTTCATTTTTATTGCTGAATAAGATTTTGTTGTGTGGACATAACCTAATTTAATGTATCTATTCATCAGCTGTTGGAATTTGAGTTGTTTCTAACTTTTTGGCTATTATGAATAATGTTACTATGAACATTTGTGTGCAGGATTTGTATGGATGTTTTCATTTCTCTTGGGTACATACCTCTTGAGGAACTGCCAGACTGCAAAGCAGCCACACATTTTACCCTCTCACCAGCAGGGCATGAAGGTTCCAAGGTCTCCACCTCCTCCCTCACCAACACTTGCTATTATCTCTCTTTTGAGACCGAGTCTCACTCTGTCGCCTAGGCTGGCGTGCAGTTGCACGATCTTGGCTCACTGCAACCTCCGCCTCCCGGGTTCAAGTGATTCTCCCACCTCAGCTTCGCGAGTAGCTGGGACTAAAGTGTGCGCCACCACACCCAGCTAATTTTTGTATTTTTAGTAGAGACAGGGTTTCACTGTGTTAGCCAGGATGGTCTCGATCTCTTGACCTCGTGATACGCCCGCCTCAGCCTCCCAAAGTGCTGGGATTACAGGAGTGAGCCACCGTGCCCGGCCGCTATTATCTATCATTTTTATCCTAGTAGGTGTGAAATATTATCTCATGTGGTTTTGATTTATATTTTCCTAATGACTAATGATGCTGACCATCCTTTCATTAGTGCATATTTAATGCCATTATTGACATGGTTCTTTTTACATCTGTCATTTGCTATTTGTTTTCTGCGTATTTACATATCACGTCCTTTTTGTTCCTCTGTTCCTCTTTTACTACCTTCTTTTATGTTAAATACATTTTTTTGTGATCACTTTCATTCATGTTTATTTTTTCATCTTTTTGTGTTACTCTCTTGGTTGCTGCCCTAGGGATTATAATGTGAATCTTCAATTGATCACATTTGTACCTCAAGTTAATACTGAGCAAATTCTGGCAAAATACAGCAACTTCGCTTCTACATAGCTCCATTTCCCATCCTTCCTTTCTGCTAATGTTATTTATATTACATCTTCATGTTTAATAAATCCAACAATACAGTGTTAGAGTTATTGTGTTAAACGTTAGGTTTTTGAAATAAATTAGGAGAAAGAGAAAAATGTACATACTGTTTTATATTTTCCCACATATGTACCATTTCTTCTTATGCAATAGATTTACCAGTTTGTGTTACTTCTTTCAGCTTAAAGGAATTTAGTATTTCTTGTAGAACAGGTCTACTGGCAAGATATTCTCCCAATTTTTGTTTATCTGAGAATGTTTTTACATCATCTTCATTTTTGAAGAGTAATTTCTCTTTCATTGAGTTTTTCTTTCAGCACTTTAAATATGTCATTACATTGTCTTCTAGCCTTCATTCTTTCTGAAGAAGTCAGCATTAGTTAATCCGAGCATTAATCCTAGCATTAGTTCCTCGGTAGTAATATAGTCTTTCTCTTGCTGCTTTTAAGGTTTTGTCATTGTCATCGAGAATTTTGACTATAATGTGTCTATTGTAGATATCTTTGTGTTGATCCTAATTGGGGTTCCACTATTTCTTTAAATATATTTTCTCATCTGTTTGTCTTTCTCCTCTCCACCTGGGACTCTCATTACAGGTATGTTGGTATGCTTGACATTGTTCTACAAATCTCTGAGGCTTTGTTTATTTTTGTTCAAACTTAGTTTTGTCTGATCTTCACAATAGATAATTTATATTAATCTATTTCCATGTTCACTGATGCTTTCTTCTGCCATCTCAAATCTTTCTAGTAAGCCCATATAGCTAATTTTTCATTTCAGTTATTGCCCTTTTCAACTCTAAAATTTGCATTTTTATAGTTCCCATTTCTATATTTAGAATCCCTATTTTTGAGTCATTGTCGTATTTTCCCTTAATTTTTTCAAACATATTTAAAAGGTACTTTGAAGGCTCTGGCTCCCAAATATATCTGGGCTCACTCTAAGTCAGTTTCTATTCACTATTTTTCCCTCTGAGTATGTTTCACTCTTTCCTGTTTCTTTGCATCGCTCATATTTTTGAGAATTAGACATTTTAGAAAATATATTGTAGCAATGCTGGATGCTAATTTATTTTTGAGGGTTTCCCCCCACCAGACTAAGGTGCTTGCACTTAGTCTGTAGAATCTGTCTCTTCCCATGGCGCTCATGTGTCTGCTCAGTTTTTGTTCTTCATTTTTATTTTTTATCCTGACTCCCTAGTGTTCATCCCCATGTCTGCATAGCTGAGTAGTTAACTGATCATGTGGGTGGAAACTGTGCTCAAACACCTTGAGTCTTTAAGGTTCCTACCCTCTGGCAATCAATCTGTGTGAGAAGGTTGGTCAGAATATTCAAAGTTTTTATCTCCTTTTTCTTTTACTTTTTGATGAAATCTTTACAGTCTCCCCTGTACATGCCCCAGGGATGTGTGAACAGACTATTTGGTCCCTCTATCCTATGAATCTCTGATATCCAGGATCTTAGATTTCTTGCTAGTACACTACTGACTGCAAACCTTAGGCCAGCAAGGTTGGATTCCCCTGTTCATTTCTCCATGAATTCATCACTTTTAATTGACAAGTCAATGATCTTCTCCCCACTCTTCTCCATACCAAGTCTGTCCCTGATTGTAGAAAAGCTGATGATTTTCTCAGTCAGCCTCACATGGGTCAAACTACTCTTCTTGCCAATAGAGCTTGGGAGTAAAGGTGATTGCTTCAGTCTTTGGCAGGAAAGTCAGACTCCCACTATTCTTCACCAAAGTTCTAGCAAACACTGTTTTTAAGAATAAATGCTACTCAATTTGTTGTCTGCTTTTGGTCAGTTTCCAGACCCCTCAGATGGTTGCTTTGGACAATTCTGTCCTGTCCTGTTTTATGCTTGATTTTTGTGGGGAAGGTTAACCTAACTTCTTCAAGTCACCATAGCCAAAGCTGCTCCTGTCCTTAATCTTCCTAAACACATTTAAGCATTGTTATTTTAAAATACGTCTCTGATAACTCTGATGTCTGGGTTCCTGTGTGTGTTTATTGTTCGTTTTTTAAACTTTTGTTTTCAACGACATGTTATTTCCTAATGAGCCTGGTTATTTTTTATTGAATGCAAACATTGCACCTGCAAATCAAGAAATAATTTGAAGCTTATTATTAATGGTGCCTTCTGTCAGAAAGGCACTAGAAATCTCAGATTACCTTAATCTCATGTCAGGGATTGGGATTATTTGAAGTTGGGTTTATTTTCTCTTATGACTAATCTATTTAAAGGGACATCTCTTTCTAAGATGTCCCTTTCACTTCAAGATCCTGACTCAAGATGCCAGGAAGTTACCAGACTTGGGAGGTCCCAGACTGCAACTTTGCTGAGCTTCTCCATCTTTTATTATACTGGTGCAAAAGTAATTGTGGTTTTTGCTGTGATGGCAAAAACCACAATTACTTTTGCACCAACCAAATATCTTCCTTTTTTAAAAATAGTAGATTCCATTTTAGGAAAAACAGCCTCAAATACCGGGAAGACTACTCTGGGTATTCTTTTTCTCCCCCATCTTGGCCCTGTAGTTCTTCACTGCCCTATAGTATGTCAGTGTCTTTGAGTGATTAAATTTTATTTTATCCAGCTTTTTTTAGTTGTTCCCTGTGGGAAAGTTGATCCGAATCACCTAGTTCACTCTTATGGGTATAAAGTCTTAGGTGTTAACCCATCTAGGTTAACTTATCTTAGATGTTAATGATCTAACCTTTAGGTGTTAACTTGTAGGTGTTAACTATCTAGGAGCTAACTATAGGTATTAACTTACCTTAAATGTTAACAATCTAGTCTTTAGGTGTTAACTTGTATTTTCATTCCTTTATTTCCTTAAACTTACTAGGCATTTTGATTTAATATTTTGCATGGAAGATACCAATATTTCAATCCAATTCTTTACAGGTCTAGTTGTACCATTGGTTGTTTCATCAGTTCTCTCCATTGCCTTGTTTTCTTGTGTGTTTTGTGAATTTTTTTAAAATACCGAGAGCTCACATACCTTGAAACTTTGTTTGTGGGATTATTTTGTGGCCTGAATTGGCATGAGTTGCTCTAGGGGGAATTTTGTTGCTTCTGTATGGTGCCTGTATAGTTTCTTAGACCCTGAGGTGGTGCAATTTCATATACAGATCACATAAAAGGGTTAAGTTGTAATAATAAATCCTGGAGCGCTCTTTTTAAAAAACTTTCCATTAAGAGCCAGTGTTAGAAACAAGCTGATAGTATCCTCAGGAAGTTTGTTTTAATTCAACCTTGGCCTGAGTGAACATCAAGTTTGTTTTAATTCAACCTTGGCCTGAATGAACATCAGCTTTGCAAAGTTTGCATTGAGATTTGTTTTCTGTTTTTGTGCACTCTCGTCTGGGATGACCAGAACTTCTGCTCCACTTAATAGCAAATTCCCTCATGGTAAAACCAGCCTAAGGGCTCTGCTTACCTCTCTGGCTTCCCATTGGCACTCAGTTTTGGGGCCTCCTTACTTTCTTGTCAGTGTGTCAAGGTATTTGAAAGAAATGTTTAAACCTCTATTCAATATTTTTGGTGGATTTCAGAGAGAGAGAGATCCTGTATTTCTAGCCCACCATCATGTGAAATACGAAGTCTCCAGTTAGTTTCTTTACCTTGCCTTCAGTGGACAGTATGGCAGCAGTTAGGAATATAGGCCAGGTGTAAAGAGATAGGCCAGCAGATTGCCTAGGTTCAAATCGCAGCTCCACCAATCACTGATTATGTATCCTTAGTCAAATTACCTGTTTTTTTTTTTTTTCCCTGACGGAGTCTTGCTCTGTCACTCAGGCTGGAGTGCAGTGGCGTGATTTGGGCTCACTGCAACCTCCGCCTCCCGCGTTCAAGTGATTCTCCTGCCTCAGCCTCCTGAGTAGCTGGGATTACAGGCATGTGCCACCACACTCAGCTAATTTTTGTATTTTTAGTAGAGATGAGGTTTCACCATGTTGGTCAGGCTGGCCTTGAACTCCTGACCTCATAATCTGTCTGCCTCGGCCTCCCGAAGTGCTGGGATTACAGGTGTGAGCCACCACGCCCGGCCCTGCTTAATTTCTCTGTTACAGATTCCACATAGGATTATTGAAAAGAGTAAGAGTGCAAAGCGCATAGAACCGTGCCTGCCACTGCACTCAGTAAGAGCCAGCTATGACGCTGATGACTATGTCACACTGACCTGGTCTTGGACGTCCTCATCACACAACTCCAGCTGCATAATGCGCTCGAAAGGTCGGAAGAGTGCTTCATTGAAGTGAAAATGAGGTGGCTCATTCCAGTCAGTGAGGACCTCTGTCAGTATGTCATGGATGAAGGAAACAGCCTTCTGAGACACATGTCTTTCCTTATGGCAAGCAGCCTGCAAAATTCATCAGAGAGTGGCATACCATCAGGACAGCAGACAGTGAGAATGTGGTTTCTGAAGGCCTTCCTACCCCACCTCATTACAAGGAGGGAGAAACAGCAATTCTGTTAAAATCAAAACACTCTAAGGGATAAGTCTAAGCAAACTGCACACTAAATTGCATTTTAAACAATTTAACGAGCTTATCAGGCACAACTTCAATTTCATGTTAATGTTTCTAGAAAAAGAAAAGTTTCTGGTAATTTATTTTTCTGTAACATGACAGTTTTCTTAAATGGTACAGAACATGCTCACTATAAAGACACCAGAACCCAGACTAGGAATGGCTTATGGTTTCATCTTAGCTGTGCCCCACACGTAGGAAGATAAGATGAGTCATCTGTTCCTCAGTGAGGTGAGGGACAAATTGCCACAGTAGCTCTAATTGGTTTACAAACCTCCTGGTATCCATGCTCTTGAGTAGTCCTTTCCCGTACTGGCCCTGGGCTTGGACGTGTGAGTTGCTTTGGCCAGTGGAACACAAGCAAACATCATGTAAGAACAGAATTAAAAAGTACCTGTGATTTGAGGTTAGCCCTGTTGTTGCTCTTTGGAACCCTAAGAATGCCATGTGAACAAGCTGGGGCTGGTCTGCTGGAGGCTAGTCTACATGAGAGACCATGAAAAGAGAGACCTATTTGTCTAGCCATCCCTGTTAAGGCCATCGTGAACCATATGGCCCCAGACTTTGCACCAGCTGACCATAGATACACAATTAAAGCCAGTGAGATCCGCCACGCCTGGCCAACCCCAGAACTACCCAGAGAAGCCTACCTCAAATATCTGACTCATGGAATCATGAGCTAAATAAACGGTGGTTGTTTTAAGCCACTAGATGTTGGGGAGGCCTTATTGTAGAGTAAAAGATAACCGACAGACCTTTCCCCCATGTCTACATTGCTATTTTCTACCCATTTTGCTTACTAGAATGTTCTCAGGTTAATAAGTTCCAAGAAGTGTTTTATGATTTATCTCTACCAGGTAAGAGCAAAAGGGCTATTAAGAATAGCTATCACTGCAAAACAGGGCAACAGTTTTCCCTGTCAACTTGGAAGTGGCCAGTCCTCATGTACTGAGATGCTTAGATGTAGAGCTGCCATAAAACTGATCACATGAACTGCTTTCCTTTGGAGAGTGAAAGGGTCTTAGTATTAATTTTGTTAAGAAAACTAAGACATAGTGTTCCCTGACTGAAAGGACACCGTCCTGAGTATATTTAGCTATTAGAAAACAGGGACTGGTAGGAACCAAAGACATTGTTATATTTATGTATACAAATAAAGCTATTAGGAACCATCCACAGTCTTTCTGTTCCAGGCTCAGGTTGATACCAGATCAAAAAAATGAAAAACTAGCTGAGTTGTACAATTGCAAAGAAAGAGGGTCAGAGTGAGACTAGGGTAGTACTGCCCTTTGGGGTGATTCTTTAGATGCCATGAAGTATAACTAGAAAACAGTGATGTTTGTGACCAGGTGATGGGCAAGTTCCCACTGCCCAGTGGCCACAGTGCTTTGTCCCCATACATGACTACAGGCCCCCGTGCTGGCTCTGCTGGTCATTGACTTAGCAGTTCCAGGCTCTTCCCACCTTTCCAGTGCTCACCTCCACCAGGTGTGGGGCCACTAGGCTCCAGCAGCGCATCACGTGCAGCAGGGGCCGTGCTTTGCTCCGCACAATCCTCAGCATGGCATCCCCCAGGCGGAACAGGTGGAGGGCGCTTTTTCGGTCTTGAGTGGATTTAACCTCTCCTACAGGAAGGCAAGAACATAAATGCCAGAAAGCCCAAACTCAGACACAGTCTGACCTATTCAAGCAAAGAGAGAGGTTGAAAATCTAGGTAGGACCAGCAGGGTAATTCGATATTGGCTAACCAAGGGAGGAGGGAGCCCTGGATTCAAGAAGGATGTGGTGGTTCACTGAGCAAGGCCTGCATCGCCCTCTCACTCAGCACTGTAGCCCTGGTAGCTGAGATGTGACAGGTGTGATCAGGAATTGATTAGAGGGAATGAGGTAGCGGTTCGGTAGGAGGGCCGAGAAGTCCGACTGAGTTCAAATCCTGGCACCATTTAGTAGTTGTGTTATATTTGGCCAAAGATTTTCCTCTTTAGGCTGGGCACGGTGGCTCACGTCTGTAATCCCAGCACTTTGGGAGGCCGAAGCGGGTGTATCACGAGGTCAGGAGATCAAGACCATCCTGGCTAACACAGTGAAACCCCGTCTCTACTAAAAATATAAAAAATTCGCTGGGTGTGGTGGCGGGCACCTGTAGTCCCAGCTACTTGGGAGGCTGAGGCAGGAGAATGGGGTGAACCCGGGAGGTGGAGCTTGCAGTGAGCCGAGATCGCGCCACTGCACTCCAGCCTGGGTGGCAGAGCAAGACTCCGTCTCCAAAAAATAAAAATAATAAAGAAAAGATTTTCCTCTTTAATGATCTCATCTGTAAACCTGGGGATAATACTGCCCACTCCTAAAATTGCTTTAAAGATTAAACGTGATAATACACATAAAGTGCTCAGCATGGGCCCAGCACATACTAACTGAACAACATTATTAGCTATTATTATTACTCTTGTTCCTGTCACCTTTCATTTCATCATCTGCTTTGACAATCCTAAATAAACCTCTGCAGCCTTTGCCAAGCAGACCTGGTCCCTCTGCTGCTCAGTAACATGCTGTCTGGCCTGCTCTGTCTTGTTTCAGTACCATCCTTGTCTACCCTGATCTCGGGCTACTTCTTTGCCACTGTCACCTTCATCTTCCCCGCTCCCTTCTTGCTCATGTTCTGTTGCCTCTCCTCTACTTCCTACTGGGGATGGGACCCAGGTCTAAACACAAAATTCATTTGTTTCATATATACCTTACACACAGCCTGAAGGCAATTTTTGTATCCCTTGGGGACCCTCAATAAACTGTGTGTTGTGTGCCTGCATTTTGAGCGTGGCCCATCACATGAGGTCAGGTGTGGAACTTTCCACTTGTGGCCTTATGCCAGTACTTAAAAAGTTTTGAATTTTGAGCATTTTGGATTTTTGGGATACTCAACCTGTAATAATCATCATGGATATTTACCCTGCATCAGACACTGTGTTTTAAAGCAATTATATTTCCTTTCTTTTTTTTTTTTTGATGGAATCTCACTCTATTGCCCGGGTTGGAATGCAGTGGTGCAATCTCGGCTCACTGCAACCTCTGCCTCCCGGGTTCAAGCAATTCTCCTGTCTCAGCCTCTTGAGTAGCTGGGGCTACAGGCACGTGTCATGACACCCAGCTAATTTTTTTGTATTTTTGGTAGAGACAGGGTTTCACCGTATCGGTCAGGGTGGTCTCGAACTCCTGGACTCAGGTGATCTGCCCGCCTCGGCCTCCCAAAGTGCTGGGATTACAGGTGTGAGCTGCCGCACACAGCCTATATTTTCTTTTAAGAAGAAAATATAATTATTGCTATTTTACAGAGTAGAAAATTGAATGTCTGAAAGGTGATATGACTTGCCTCAGATGCTGTGGCTGGTAAGTGTTGGAGGCCGCATTTTATATTCCTACCTGATTGATTCCGAAGCAAGTTTCCCTCTTCCTAGATTTACCGCCTCTTCCTGGCCCCTGCTCACTGTGTGCTTTGTAAGCTCAGAGTCTACTGTTTTCTCCAATGAGAAAGACTTTGAAGGTTACCCCTGGGCTCAGAGATTCTCTGAAAGTCTGATGGGCCTGGGAGGTTGGCTTTATATTGCTCAGGTTTTAAAGTCTATTAAAAACGAGTGGGGCAACAACTGTGGCTCTCAAATCCAAATCTGCAGCAAGGATGAAAAAATCAAATATACTGCTTTTAGAACTTTAGATTCCTAAGGATGGAAGGGACCTCAGAGGTTGTGCCGTCCAACATGTCACTACGGTGCGTCCCCAGCACATGGCTCCCTGTCTCTGCCTGAACTCATTCGGGACAAGGTGCTCACTGTTTCAGGACAACCACTGGTGCTGTGGATGAACAATTCCATCTGTGAGCAACCTGCCAACCCTCTGGGCCCCTTGGACAATTCAGTACAACTCTACTTTGTCTTCCACAACACTGGCCTTCAAGAGGGCCTCATTTATTCACCTGGCCTCACAGGAGATGACGCGGACACTGACCCATCATTAATGGGATATGCCTCCGAGATCAGTTTTGCAAGAGTGGTATGCAGTTTCCTTTTTCACCACCCCTTCTGGGATCAGTGGTTGTTTCTGCATATCACAGAGGTGTGGTTTTTGATATGCAGAAAAGTTCCACCTTCATGTGAAGGAAGCTATCTGCACCCTAAGGAGCCACACAATTTCTACCACAAGCACAAAACTTAGCAGAACAACCTGGTCCAGCTCCAGTGGGAATTCTTATAGATGTGGTAGCAGCGTTTCCATTCACAAAGAGTTACACCACCTCTCACACAGGGTGCCTCAAAATCCAGAGACAAATCTATACTTGGGCGTAGCTTGTGTGAGTGTAAGCAAAGGGAATGTGGAGTCAAATCTTCAGGCACGCTGCTGGTGACAGAGGCCTGGGCTGTTTCCTGCTAACCTCCTGGTATATGGTTTCTTCCGGGAAACAATTACCTGGCATTGCCAGAGAGTAATCAACTGTATCCGTGACGGAATGAAAAAGCTGAGACTGCGATGCTTTCTTCAGCTGGTAAAGAAAGCCTCCCAGGGCCATGAGGTTCAACTTATCCGTAGCATCTTCAAAGAGCCTGGATGCAAACAGAAAGAGATGTGCTCTTTGGAAACAGTTCAGCAAGGTCTTATTGGCAGAATGATTATGGCAATTTTGTTGATGTGATCAGTGGAAATGTGTGTAAACACTGTAGACACATGTATGGTATTATTATATCTATTTTAACTGTGTACAAGTCTGCTCTGTGACATTTTAATTCAAAGGCACAAAGAATATATTTAAAAATATCTTTGTGCCCTCATGGTCTAGCTCAGCCATGGCAGGCTCTCATAAAATGCTTGGCAAGAAGCTGAAAGATGGCAAGGCGTTGTTCCCAGAAACTGAGTAATTGGGAATGGAATCTTCAGAATTAGCTTCAATTTCATAAACGATGTCAAAAAACCCCCGTAAATTGATGAATACGTTTTGTCTGTCTATAATTTATGAGCATAATGCTGGAAGGGATACAAAAACAGCTAAGAGTGGATCCTGTAAGCCCCCCTCAGGGCAGGGACTGGCCTCATACACACCCAAACGCCTGGATGTGATGGGAACTCAAGTATCTATTTGGAAGAAAGAATGTTCCCTAATATTATGGGTCTTGCAAGTTCTTTTTCTTTTCTGCTCAGCTGGGCACAGACCTTGCCAGCAGAAAGATTTAGGAAGGTGGGGAGCACAGTAGCAGAATTTAGGGGAGGATTTGAAGGTCACTGGAATGAAGAATGGTAAAGATTAAATATCTGTTTTATGAGGCCACAATGAGGAATGTGCCAGGTGAGCCTTCCATGGCTCTTGGGTCACCCTGGTATCTGCCTTCCAAGCCTCACGACACCACAGGGCAATCAGTGCTGCTTCAGGGAGAGGGTCGCTAATAGAAATGGAATCATGAGTCCTTTTTGAAGGAGAAAAATGAGACATGCAAGTTAAGATGGGAATTAGTGGATCAAACGTTTATAAATTATCAAAACAAACATATTTTTCTTGCTATTTTGATACCATTTGGCTTCTGGGTCCCATTGACCATTTCTCCTCCCTCATTCCTAGTAAGAAAATAGTGATGAATATTATATTCCACCTGACATTTGTCTATTGCTTTCCAGATTCTAAAACATTTTCACAGCCAACTTGGATAAGCAGGACAAAGCAATTATGGTAGTGGGATAGTAGATGGAGAAACTGAGTCTCAGTGCAGCTATGTCTACAGACATGACCCGGCAGCTGGGGAGTGCAAAGCCAGGACAGGAACTCAGGTCAATCTGAGTCCCGGCCCAGGGAGTGCTCCTCCCACTCCCATCCCCTTCCTGACGGTCCTCCCTGTGCCCGTGCAGGGGGTCTGGGACACAGTGACCAAATGCTGAAGAGGTAAGTGAGGTGGGGCTGTGTGTGACTGGTGACCAAAAGCACTTTCTACATCAGGAAGATTTTCGCTCCTCACCTTCCCATGGTCGTTGGGCATCAATAAGTAACACATGCATGTGGGATTTTTGAAAACAGCCATAATCATAAAAATAGTGGATTTTTACCATTTGCCAAGCTCCACTCCAGCTGCACCAAGTTACTAATTAACTTACCCTCACAACTACCCGGTGACAGAATTACTTTTAAAAAATGACCCTATTTTACCAATGGAGAAGGCCAGGCAGGGCCCAGGGAGGTGAGATTGCCTGAGATCCCAGAGTAAGTGCAGTGCTTTGACCCCAGGTGGCCTGCCTCAGACCCTCCAGTGTTAGTAAAAAACGTTTCATTCCGAGTATGGATGTAATGGTAGAGAGAACAAAGCTTGAAAAAGATGGAGGAAATTTAAGGGATTGGCTAACACATGGGTCGTCCCTGGCATGACTGAGACCAGATGGACGTGGGTGTCGCCTGGTGAGCAGGCTCCCGGCCCGTGGGAGGCTGGCGCCCCGCACCTGTCGGCCTGCGTGGAGAGGGTGAGCACCACCTTGGCGGCGCTGCTCCCGCTCATGAGGCTCCCGCCGCGGAAGTCCGAGGCCCGGCCCCGGCTGCCTTCCCGGACGAGGTCCTGGATGGACAGGGGCTGGACGACGGGGGCCGTGCTCAGGGAGCGCCCCTGCTCCGGGCTCTGCTCCGTGGGCGAGCCCTCACACTCGGGGTCCCCAAGGAGGCCAGCGCTCCCAGTGGCCTTCTGGGGCTGGCTGATGGTCAGAGGGGGCTGCAAGGCGCCATCGCTGAAGTGGTTGTGCTCCAGGGTGCCCACGTACTCACACACCCTAGAAAGAGCACAGACAAGCAGCTGTTAGACTCTGCAGCTCATCCCGGCAGCTCCATCAACCCCACAGTGCCAGACAAAGGAAATGCAGCCAGCTCTGCCAGCTCCCCAGCTTTCCTCTTTCCTGTGAGCACAGTCAGTCCTTCCCTCCTGTGTTCTCATGTCACACAGCATTATTAGTAGTAGTATTTGAGTTAGACCAGACAGCCTTGAAATGAGTAAAGGATTATTTGGGTTCTTCCACCCCAGGCTGGGAGAAGGACGGGTAATGAGGCCCCGTTCATCCAATCCCCCTGCCTAGTCCAGCTTATTGGCTTATCTGTCCTCCTGCTGTTTGAGCCACTTTTCCCCAGGCACCCTCTTTCCCTCTATATAGTGCTCTGATTAGGAGTTGGGAAGCATTTCCTTACGATGGGATTCCAGAATGGCCAGAGCTATGACGGACAGGCCATCCAGCCACAGTGAGTTCTGCCCAGCCACCTCCTGCCTGGTCCTGATGGCGCCACATAACTCAAGTCTGGGTGCAGTGGGTGGCGGCCGGGTGGAAGGGCAGTCACCGAATCATGGCAAACACAGAGAAGAGTCACCACATGTGCTACAACTGCCAACTTCTAAATGGTTTGTTCCCAACAGAACCTGGGACAAGGATGGTTCGCAGGGTCCCTCATCTCAGAGTAAGTCCGTTTACCGGTAAAGAGCGTCGTGGATAATCCACTCTGATGTTCTAGAATCAGGGAATTTTTCAATCCCTTACCCGCTGCTTGTGTACCAGGATAGCCTTTTTCTTTTTTCCTTTTTTTTTTTTTTTCTTGTTAGAGCAATAAAGAACAGCAGGTTAGCAGCCTTCATAATAGAACCATTTTGCTCAACAAACACTCATGGCTCTATTTGCTTTGAAGACGTGAAACTGAACCCATCTCTGGCTGGTGCCCTGGGCCATCGGCCATCACCCTGGCCACTCTTGCCCCACGCCTGCTCTGCCTAGACCTGGGTTTGGAGTGAGTGTGAGGTGTGTGATGCAGAGAAGGAGAAGGCACAGTGTGGCCAGCCCCCGTCCTGTTCCATGGGCAGTGCTCCTTCCACGGTACTGGGTCTGCCCTGATGCAGCGCTTGGGGAGACGTGCTTTCAGTCTTAGTTGTAAGAGGACCTGGACTCTGGAGCTATTGCTGGTTTTCATCTTACAGGCACTGTGCACTGTGTAACTCACTGGGAGCTTCTTTTCACTTTGATGCTACAATGCTTAGAGCCAAATTTTTGGTCTGTCTTTGGCAGAGGTGTACTATTTTGTTTTGTTTTGTTTCGGTCTACCTACATTAAAAGTAGGTATCTTGTATTTTATGTATCCAAATAGGCTATCTGAAATCCTTCTTTAAGTAAAGAGGACATTGATAAACATTTAGCAATGTAATATTGCAGAGACATGACCAGTTTTAGATTGGCACTGTATTCACTTAACTTACATAGTCATCTCAATCAATTATTTAATTGGTTTTTCTTCCTTCCTTCTCTAGTAAAAATGTCAATAGAAAAGTCACAGTTCCTGAGACCCAGTTCTGTCCCTTGTTCTTCAAAACATACGTTTAGTTGGGCCCTTATTGCGTCTTTTCTTTTCATGTCTTATTTGAAGTTTAATCAAACTCTGTGAATTGTTATAATTGATTTATATGCTGGCAGGCTCTTGAGGCTACCCCTCTCCACCCCCCAGAGCCCACTCCAGGCTTCCTGAGGCAGGGTCAGTGCCATCTGGGGGTGGGAGCCCATCATGCACCTGAACACGTGTGGCCAGCAGTCCGGGTTGTGGCTTCCCATCTCCAGGCCTACGCTGAGGATGGCCTCCATGCACAAGACGTGGGCAGTGTGCAGCCACACCCCCTGCACCTTCCCAATCTGCTCCAGTTTCTGCTCCACTTTTAGTTTCACTGTGCCAGAAAGACATTTATTAAAATAACAGGTTGAGTAAGGGAGACAGAAAGGGAGAGAGAAAGAATGAAAATGAAAGAACGTGTGTCATGCAAGGGCAAAAGGGAAAGGACAAACGTCAGTGGCAGCAAGCGCCTCCACAGCAGGTCCTTGCGGACCCTCATGCAAACCACTCAGCCGGCAGGTCCCATGCGCCGGTGGCCCCAGCTCTCCAGCTCCAGAAGTGGGATGGATCCTGAGCTGGCAGGTGCCATTCCTTCCGGGCCCTTTCACGGGCTCTGGGTCAGGCACAGCAGTGCGGATGGGTTTCATGAGCCAATTCCAGGTAAAACCATCTGGGCCCAGACCTTTCACCCTTCCCAAAAATTGGTCAAATGGAAGAATTCCTGGCTTTCTGCAAGTTTTCTCTGAGATTATTGTAATGTTAGGCTCTCATTATGATCATCATCTCTAAAACAACTTATTTATGTGTATTTTGAGCACCCGAATGACTGCTCTATCACTGAAAAAGACCGATCTCATTTCATCCCTTGAGTTTGTATTTGTGAGCTCCAAATAACACTTTAAAAAATTGTAGACCGGGCGTGGTGGCTCACATCTGTAATCCCAGCAACAATGGGAGGCCGAGGCAGGCGGATCACCTGAGGTTGGGAGTTCGAAACCAGCCTGAACAACACGGAGAAACCCTGTCTCTACTGAAGATACAAAATTAGCCGGGTGTGGTGGCACATGCCTGTAATCCCAGCTACTCAGGAGGCTGGGGCAGGACAATCACTTGAACCTGGGAGGCAGAGGTTGCAGTGAGCTGAGATCATGCCACTGTACTCCCGCCTGGGCAACAACAGTGAAACTCGGTCTCAAAAAAAAACACAAAAAACTGTAGATGATTAATGAGAAAGAATGCAGAAAGTGACTTCAGATGTCAGTAATGCAAAATGCTAATGCAAGGCCAAACCACAGTGTCCTCCTTGAAAAAAGGTTTCAAGTCACTGCATGTGGTAGGATAACTAAGTGATGGTCCAGAACCCAGAAATATAGCAAGCCAACCTCAAAGGAATCCAAACCATCTCCTAACATAAGAAGCAAAGTGATTTTTAGCAAAACATCATTTGTCTCATAAATGTGATACTAATTTTATTTATTATTTATTTATTTGAGTTGGTGTCTCTCTCTGTTACCTAGGCTGGAGCGCAGTGACACCATCTTGGTTCACTGCAACCTCCACTTCCCAGGTTCAACCAATTCTGCCTCAGCCTCTGAAGTAGCTAGGATTACAGGCACCCGCCACCACACCCAGCTAATTTTTGTATTTTTTAGTAGAGATGGGGTTTCTTTCACCATGTTGGCTAGGCTGGTCTCAAACTCCTGACTTCAAATGATCCGCCCGCCTTAGCCTCCCAAAGTGCTGGGATTACAAGTGTAAGCCACTGCACCTGGCCATTTTATCTATTTTTTTTTGAGATAGGATCTTACTCTGTCACCCAGGCTAGAGTACAATAGAATGATTATGGCTCACTGCAGCCTGGACCTCCCCAGGCTCAGGCGATCCTCCCACCTCAGCCCCTCAAGTAGCTGGGACTATAGGCACATGCCACCATGCCTGGCTTAGTTTTGTGTTTTTAGTAGAGACAGGGTTTTGCTATGTTGCCCAGGCTGGTCTTGAACTCATGGGCTCAAGTGATCCACTTTCTTTGACCTCTCAAAGTACTGGGATTACAGGCGTAAGCCACTGTGCCCAGCCTTAATCTTATTTTTTATTTGTATTTAATCAGAATATTGTGGTCTTGATTTTGTGGTTTTTTTAAAGAACTGTGACTGTAAGGATTTTTATGTAGCTCATGGTTGTAAAATACTTAAGTAAAATTGTGAGACTCCATTTTAAGTTAACCCTGGGGATCTGTGAGAGCTATTTTGTTTTCAAATGGGTCTCTAAATTTGATTCAAATCTGAGAAACACAGACCTAAACTGTGTTTCTCGGCTAAAAATGTACAGCTGACTCAGTGACTTGCTACTGTACATATCTGATAGTAGTTACATAATTTGGACCACGCTTGCATTTTTCCTTTTGTTTGCTGCCTGCCTTGTATCTTCTGTTGCTATCAGGATGGTCATTCTCTTCCCTTTGATCCAGATAACCATCAGCTTCATTGACTCACTGATTTCAACAGGTTAAAAATCAGCCATTTCCCGAGTTCACAAAGCTCAGATTTTTCTCTGATGAGAGCCTCTTCTTCCTGAGCCTCCCCTCATTAATTTTCTCCATCTGTTTTCTCCCCTTTAGAAAACTGGCCAATCTGCCTTCCCCACTATAACCCGAAGGCTCTTCAAGTGTGCACTTGTGTGAAGTGCCAAAGCCAGTGACTAGATGACAGATACGAACAGTTAGGCCAGGTGGGCCCATGGGACTCCTGGGCCTGCTGCACTTTCCTTGCCACCAGGGGTCAGTATGTCTCTCATTCTCCAGAGGGATCTTCTGTAGGTCACCTGTGGCTCAATGGATCTCAAGATCAGTGGTGTATACATACTGGGCAGCGCACACAGAACAGGCACGAGTATTGGCTGGCGTGTGTTAGCCTGTGCAGGTGTGTGCATACTGCACCCAAGGCATCAGGTGGGTTCTGGCCCTCCAGTCGTTACCTTGTGTGATGGCATCACTAGGTTCTTGGGCCTCCCTCTCTTCTTTTTCTTCTTGGACACAGGAGGCAGCTGCCATCTGGGCAAGAGCCGAGGCGCAGTTAGCAGCAACCCCTTCAGAGGAGACAGACAATGACTTCTTGACTGAGTATATCCTCTAACCATTCACCTAGCAGAACCCCTTCTAAAAGGTCCCCCCACCCTACCCTGCTGGATCATTCCCAGTAAGTTCTGCAGGAACACAGCCAGGGAACACTACTTCCGCTGGTACCTAGAGCGCAGCTCAGCCGTGCGGCTTTCCGCAGCCCATCGAGGCTCATGCAGATGGCGTCCCGTTCCTTCTGGTTCTGCTCTTTGATGCCTTCAGCTCCCAGAATGAAGGCCAGCCCTTTGGAGCTCCCTGCCATTCGACCAGTCAGTGGGGTTGATAAAGTATCGATCAAGTTCTTCCAGCAGCCCACCAGAATATAGCGAGCAAATGCCACACCTGGAACATGGAGGAGTGTGCGTCATTTTCTAGAGACAAAAATGACCTGACAATGAATGACATGGTGTTCTCTTGCCATCAAATGAGCAGTACAGAGTTGCATGCAATTCTACAAAAGGAAATATAACTTAATGGATTATATGGGATCATGTTTCACTTTGTTCTTTTAAAAATAAATGTTGCATTATCAGCTGAATGATGCTAAGTGACTTCCTTCAATTACTTTTTCTTTTTTTTTTTTTTTTTTTTGACAGGGTCTTGCTCTGTCGCCCAGGCTGGAGTGCAGTGGTGTGATCTCAGCTCACTGCAAACTCTGCCTCCCAGGTTCATGCCATTCTCCTGCCTCAGCCTCCTGAGAAGCTGGGACTACAGGTGCCCGCCACCACACCCAGCTAATTTTTTGTATTTTTAGTAGAGACGGGGTTTCACTGTGTTAGCCAGGATGGTCTCAATCTCCTGACCTCGTGATCTGCCCGCCTTGGCTCCCAAAGTGCTGGGATTACAGGTGTGAGTCACCGTGCCCGGCCTAATTAGTTTTTTTCTAACCAAGACAAAATCTTGATTCAAGTCACCACATAATAATGTAATTGCTGGTAACACATGCAGTGTTCATAAACTCAAGATCCAAGTCATTACCTGCCACTGTGGAGTCATCGATTCTCCTGCTCTGGGCAAAAGGAGACTCTGTAGCAGCTGAGGCCATCAGCTGGCCACCAATGGCACTACTCTCTAAGCCATCAATATCTGTCAAGGAAAAAGAGTGAAGTTTTCCCTAAATAAAACACTCCAGTCAAAAACAAGGACATGGCCACCACAATATTCATTTTTAACAAATATTCCTTGTATCTTTTATGTTTCAAGCATGTAGCAACCTTTTATGAGACTATCATAAATTTTGTTTTATTCCCTCAGTCTAGTTTTATTTCATATTGGAGTATTTATTCTTCTGTTACATTGTTGCCTATCTTTATTTAAAAATAGATATAAACTATAAATTATTTATCTGTTAGAAAATCTATTGATTTAGAATATTTTGATCTTAAATACTCTCTTTATTCAGAATCATTGATTATTCCCGAATTATATATTCCCAAACCTGGTACAGGTTACCCAGATGTGAATTTTCTTTCAGAGCTTCCTTACATGAATTAAGAGGAGAATAAGCCTCTTTGGTCAGATCATCGCATAGTCAAATTGCAAAGTACAATAAATAATACCTTATAATTTTCAAAGTGTTTTCACATAAAATTTTTTGACTTGATCACTGAAACAGCTCAAATTCGGTAAGCAGGTCAGTATTCTTTTTATTTCACAGAGGAAGAAACAGAGTCCTGCACCACAAAATGACATTTTTGTCAACCACCAACTGCATATAAGACAGTGGCCCCCTAAGATTATAATAGCATTATTTTTATTGCACCTTTTCTATGTTTAGATACACAAATACATACTACAATGTTTTTACAGCTGCTTACAGTATTCAATACATGCGGCGCAAGTTTGTGGCTTTGAAGCAATAGACTATACCATCTAGCCTAGGTGTGTAAGTACACTCTGTGATGGTCACATGATGACAAAATTGCCTAACAATGCATTTCTCAGAACGTGTTCCTGTCCTTGCAGAAGGATGCATGACCATGTTTAAAGTATGTAAGTGGTTCAAGGCCATGAGGCTGATGACGGAAATAATTAGTATTCATGTCTTCTGACTCCCATCCAGGCCTCTCTACACCATTCCAGCTCCATATTAGATCCTCAGTTATCCTGTTTAAGTTTTTGCTGAAACAAATTCTCTTCTACAGAATTAGCTCAACAAACCACTCTTTAACATTATGGTGAGGAAAGGACTGGAGTGGGGTCAAGAAGGCTGAGCTTCAGTCTTGGCTCTGAATTAAGTAGCCTTGTAGCCCTGGGCCAGGCTCGCCAAGGCCCCAAGTTCCTCAGTATAAAGGAAGTAACCATTGGAAAAGTGACTATGGAGTTGAAATATACATACTTGGATGCAACTAATATAGCTGAATGCAACACAGGGAGGGGATGGGAAAGGAGGGTAGTTGTGGGTTTTTTGTTTGTTTTTGTTTTTTTTTGAGACAGAGTCTCACTCTGTCACTCAGGCTGGAGTACAGTGGCGCAATCTCAGCTCACTGTAACTTCCACCTCCTGGGTTCAAGCAATTCTCATGCCTCAGGCTCCTGAATAGGTGGGATTACAGGTGTGTGCCACCACACCCAGCTAATTTTTGTATTTTTAATAGAGACGGGGTTTCATCACGATGGTCAAGCTGGCCTCTAACTCCTGACCTTAAGTGATCCTCCCACCTCTGCCTTCCAAAGTGCTGGGATTACAGGCGTGAGCCACTGCCTGTAATTATTAGTATTTATTCCCTGAGTTTAGGACTTCACCCTCACCCCAAGAGGATGAGACTTCTTTGCATGGTGTTCCACTGTATCTTCGATTCTTACAGAAATTACAAAAAACCTGGAGACTTCTCGGCAACTATCAGGACCAAAACAGGGACAAAATTTATATGGCTGCTAAGGTGGAAACAGACTGGTTTCTCTGAAATTAATTTGATGTCTGGTCAAATGACCTAATGATATTTGCCAGAAATTTTCATTTATCAAAGTATAATGGATGTTTTCTATGTGCGATATTTGCCAGAAATTTTCATTTATCAAAGTATAATGGATGTTTTCTATGTGCTAGGTAAAGGTCTGATGAATTCAAATAATGCAAAGTTTATTTCTGTGCTAAAATTCCACAGTTCTATACAATACTCTGACATGACATCAGGAATGGCCACAGTTAGTACAGTGTTCATCATCAGATTGCTGGCATTGCTTCTCCTCATACATAACGAAAAGATCAGATAGAAGTCTCCGAACTCTAGGCTAACTGCTGCTCTGATTCATTTGTCACTTCATACCTGGAATTTACAATCATAAAGAATCACAGACCCTTATTTTGTTGAATTCTTATGAAAAGCCCTTTTCATCTTTAAAGTTAAATAGCTTTCCTATGGACATAGCAATTGAGCTTACTGTTCCATTAATAACAGCGATGGCTAATTAACAGTGATGATTGATGAATATGGAAACTATGAATAGTCTGTTACTTATTCATTTTACATCTACTGAATGACTCCTTTTATTAAGGCCTGGGCAAGAGAGTCACAGAGATTACTTTGGCAGAAACTATGGTATTTGCAAATTAAAGCTGGAATGTTTAGGATCCTCATCCAAATTCTCAGACTTACAAGCTCTGGGCAGTACCTTCCATCCCTACTGAAAGGAGTTTGTGAAAACAGATAGAAATCAAGCATTGCTTATAGGTAAACTAAATAAATGGCTCTCATACATTTGAATGATTACTTCTCTTTTCTTTTTTTCTGTTTTTTCTTTTTCCTTTTTTTTTTTTAGACAGAGTCTCGCTCTGTCACTCAGGCTGAAGTGCAGTGACGCGATCTCAGCTCACTACAACCACTGCCTCCCAGGTTCAAGGGATTCTCCCACCTCAGCCTCCCAGGTAGCTGGGACTGCAGACACTTGCCACCATGCTCGGCTAATTTGTGCATTTTTTTTTTTTTTTGTAGAGATGGGGTTTCACCATGTTGGCCAGGCTGGTCTTGAACTTCTGACCTCAAGTGATCCACTCGCCTCGGCCTCCCAAAGTGCTAGGATTATCGGTGTGAGCCACCGTGCTTGGCCTGAATGATTATTTTTCAAATGGATGTAAATGCTATCATGATTAACAAAACACAAATTGATCACCTCTCCAGTGATCCTGATCCGCAAGGTTCGAGACCCAATCTTACTTCCCCCAGTTCCATCCTAGTTCTTGAAACAAGACTCCAAATGCCAATCAATGACGAGGACTCTGCCACCCGTGGACAGACCTCACTGTATGTTCTGATCTTCTGCCTGATTCCTAAATAGTGCCTCACCCCAAATTCTACATGGCTGGGTTCCACCTGCCAGTAGTTTATTCTGACACCTTGTAAGAGCCCCCAGTGCCAACCACAGGCAACATAACACACCCCTTGGACAACGGATTCTGTGCCCCAGCTGGACTGTCCTGCCCAGTCCTGTGCTGTTCCTGCTGGGCACAGAGCCATGCTGAGCTGTGTGAGGATACAGATACTCCAGAGAGGTCAGGGCCATGCTCTGCACCTCCTTCTGCTGGAGGCACGAGAGGATAACTGCATCAGAAACCAGTGTGGGGAGGGTGGGTGCAGTGGCTCATACCTGTAATCCCAGCACTTTGAGAGGCCAAGGCAGGCAGATCACTTGAGGTCAGGAGTTCAAGGCCAGCCTGACCAACATGGTGAAACCCTGTCTCTATTCCAAATACAGAAATTAGCTGGGCGTGGTAGTGAGCACCTGTAATCCCAGCTACTCGGGAGGCTGAGGCGGGAGAATCATTAGAACCTGGGAGGTGGAGGTTGCAGTGAGCTGAGATCATGCCACTGTACTCCAGCCTGGGCAACAGAGCTAGACTCTGTCTCAAAAAAACAAAACAAAACAAAACAAAAAAACCAAACCAACCAACCAACCAACCAACCAAACAAACAAAAAACCCAGTTTGGGGACTCAGAGACAATCCAGGACAAGCCTGGAACTCTAACTTACTAAGGCAAGCGATGACCCGACTAAACTTTTGCACATCTTTGGCATTATGGCCGAGCCACAAGAAGCCATGAAAAGCTGCTTTTGCCAAAAAACACTGCCCCACGACAATATGGCATACTGCTCTCTACACTCTCATGTGAAATTTCTAATTGTCAAATAGGATTTTAAAAGTTATTGTGGTTCATAGACACCAAGGAACACTACATAACCATAAAAAAGAACCAAATCATGTCCTTTGTTGCAACATGGACACACCTGAAGGCCATTATCCCAAGCGAGTTAATGGAGGAACAGAAAACCAAATGCCGTATGTTCTCAGTTATAAGTGGGAACTAAACACTGGGCACTCGCCGGGCGCGGTGGCTCAAGCCTGTAATCCCAGCACTTTGGGAGGCTGAGACGGGAGGATCACAAGGTCAGGAGATCGAGACCATCCTGGCTGACACGGTGAAACCCCGTCTCTACTAAAAAATACAAAAAACTAGCCAGGTGAGGTGGCGGACGCCTGTAGTCCCAGCTACTCAGGAGGCTGAGGCAGGAGAATGGCGTGAACCCGGGAGGCGGAGCTTGCAGTGAGTTGAGATCCGGCCACTGCACTCCAGCCTGGACGGCAGAGCAAGACTCCGTCTCAAAAAAAAAAAAAAAACAAAAAAAAAACAAAAAAAAACACTGGGTACTCATGGACATCAAGACGTTAACAATAGACACTGGGGACTGCAAGGCAGGAGAGGGAGGGAGGGGAAAGAGTTGAAAACTGTTGGCTACTATACTCGGTACCCAGGTGATGGGATCAGTTGACCCCAAACCTCAGCATCATGCAATATGCCCAGGTAACAGACCTGCACATGTACCCCTTTAGTCTAAAGTAATAGTTGAAATTATATATATATAGAGAGAACTATCACATGAGACTCTGCAAAAAGCACCAACTTGCTCACAAGCCATTGCAACTCATAAGCCATTGCAACCTTACACAAAATAATACTCCTGTGAGGACATCTGCCTGGCACCTGCTTGCCTGTCCAAGTTAAACTGGCACTGCCCCTGTTACTGATCCTTTACTTAAGGATCATTATCTCAAAACAATGATGAAATCCTCCTCATTATTCCTTTAAACACCTTTGCCATCCTTTACCTCCCTGTATAAGCACGTAGTTTACTATGGCGGGCATATTCCCATTGCAACGTCTATTCCTGAATAAATATTTTCTTTACAAAAAAAAAAAAAAGCTCTGGACACTGAAGACAAAGATGCTGGTAAGTATTTGGCATTATTCTTAATTCTGGTACAGCTGGGAAGGGAAGGGAGGGCCTCTGATATAGATAGAAAACAGAAGGAAACCAACTTTTTTTGTTTTGAGACAGGGTCTTGCTCCTGTTGCCCAGGCTGGAGTACAGTAGTGTGATTTCGGTTCACTGCAACCTCTGCCTCCCGGGTTCAAGTGATTCTTCTGCCTTAGCCACCCAAGTAGCTAGGATTACAGACACCTGCCACCACACCCAGCTAATTTTTGTATTTTTAGTAGAGACAGGGTTTTGCCATGTTGGCCAGGCTGGTCTCGAACTCCTGACCTCAGGTGATCTGCCCACCTCGGCCTCCCAAAGTGCTAGGATTACAGGCATGAGCCACGGCGCTTGGCCAGGAAGCCAACTTTAAAGTCAGTCATTTTACATTTATTGGTAAATCCCAAGAACACTGAATGAAATGATATGGGTGACTATTAGCATGTGAGAACTCCCAGGAATAATCCTGGGCCTACACATCCTACAGACATGGCCTACAGTTTTACACCAACAGACAAAGGTGCTAAGTTAGTTCTCATCTAATGGGGCACAGTGAGCCCTACAGACTCCCACATGGAAAAGGTACAGAAAACTCCTGTGAAGTGAACTCATGACACTTCCCTGGAACTGTCACCAATGCCAGGGAAGCTTTGTGGGTGCTGTTTCAAAGTCTGCTCCAAGCACCAACACTTCTCTGAAAGAGGCTTTAAAGCGTGAGCCATCCCACCCTACCATGTGCCCCAAGGCCTTGCGACGAACCACTGACCGGTCAGCATTGTGATCAGGGGAAGGCTGTTATCTTCCGGGCTGCCCCAATAGCCAGCCTCTCCAAGCATGTTCCTGTCGAGCACCTGATGGTAGAGCTCCTCAATCCAGGCCTGGGAGAAGACCATCAGCACGCCGCTGGTCTGCACCTGCTTCATGAAGTCCTTCTACAGAGAGATCGCATGAGAAGGTGACCACATAACACCCCACTCACTAACAGGCTCCTAAGTGCCTCTGCTACCTCTTCATGACACGGAGCCCTGAACTAAACCAAGGCTTGTGTATTGGGTAATGGGGCGGCAAGCGGGGAGAAGCGGAGATGGAGAATTCCCAAATGTGCTGAGGTCTCCTTCACTGATGACACCTTTTGACAGACACCTTGCAGAAGGATTACAGAGACTGCACTTTTCATTCTTACTCCTGCATGTGTGGAAAGGTTTGCAACTGCACAGATGTCTTTAATAGAGTAACAGGGCTTCCTTTTCTACAAGCACCAACAGCAGCAGAGATGGAACGCGTTCCTGTTCCTGCAGGAATGTGCACATTTCCAGAGATACTTCACTTATGCTCATGAAGTAACCACTTAACCTTTGGGAATTTACAATTTATCAAGCAAACAAATGGTTGTTGATTTCCTTCATGTAGATCCATGGATTTAGGCTCAGGAACTGATAATAGGGTACACCATGGAGTGGCTTGCTCCATCACAGGAGCTAACCACAGGACAATCAACATTCTCATTGCATCCCTTACAGGAGGTGCTTATAAGCAATAGCCAGTGAGCTTCATTCTGGGTCAACAGTCGGTCTGGGAACATGTTGAAATACGGTGAAGAGTTTTTCTAAGTGCACACCTTCAGCCAGGCATGATGGCTCATGCCTGTAACACCAGCACTTTGGGAGGGCAAGTTGGGAGGATTGCTTGAGCCCAGGAGTTCAAGGCCGGCCTGGGCAACATAGCAAGACCCTGTCTTTACAAAAAATAATAAAAAAATTAGCCAGGCATGGTGGTGCACACCTGTAGTCCCAGCTGTTTGGGAGTTGAGGTGGGAGGATTGCTTGAGCCCAGGAGTTTGAGGCTGCAGTGAGCCATGCCATGATCACACCACTGCACTCTAGCCTGGACAACAAAGCGGGACTCTGTCTCAAAACAAAGAAAAACACAACTCATTTTCAGCAACTTTCCTGCATATCTTCTGATCTCCCTTAACACATCAATGATGTGGTTTTGAACAGGTTTTATCCATGTGTTTAATAATGGCATGGGATGAAACTAACGGGTTATCCCTGGGCAGCCATTTCCAGGACCTCACGTCCATACACTCTTCACTGGAGCCCAGTGGGCAGCTCTGTGATCATGGTGCTGGGCAACTGTATATCTGTGCCCTTATATATATGTCATCTCCTTCCACCCCCCAAAGTCCCACTGGCATTACCAATCTAGAGCAGTGTGGGACAAAACACGCTGTGCCATCCCACTCAGGGCACTGACACTCGACTGTACACCAGGAGGCCACAGCCTGCCCTCTGCCAGTCCAACGAGGGATGGCACACTCACCATCACGCCTGGCGCCAGGGTCGGCCGCTTCCTGTAGTAGTCACCATGGGAGAGCTTCAGGTTGAGGAGCAGGGCGCAGTGTGCAGCTGTGTAGAGGCTGTCTGCGTTCATCAGCATCTGGAAGCTGAGGCTGCTATTCCCATCAAAGCCAGGAGAGTGCATCATGCCTAAGGGAGAAAATGAAGGGACTTTTGGGGCTGTGAACAGTGTGCCTGGCAAGGCTGGCTTCCAAAGAGCTGCAAACCCATTGTGATAGATGCTGCATCATATAGGACATTTATGTATAGCACTGACAGCTAGCCAGGAATACCCTTAGGGCCTGATACACACGCCAGCCTGGTGGCAAAGAGCGTGAGCTCAGGAGTGGATCTGCCTGGGCCTGGATCCTGATCTCTTACTTAGCAGCTACAACTTTGATAAAATCATGTAAACCCTCTAAGTCTCACCTTCTTTTCCTATAATAGGGAGAAGAACTGACTGCATTCTATCCCTAGCTTGAGTCCTCCGGTGGCTCCCCATCACAATATAATAAAACTCCAACCTCACCCTATTCTCTCCCTCTCACTCCCCGCAGCCACCCTGACTGCCTGCTGTCCCTTAGCCACACCAGGCCTAGACCTGCCGCAGGGCCTTTGCATTTGTTTTTGCCACTCCCTAGACTGATCCCAGGATCTCTGGATGCTGCACTCCCTCGATTCTGCCAAGTCTCTGCTCAAGTGACAGAGACACCTTCCCTTTTAATTCCATTATTAAATAGCAAATCCACTCCTGCCCACCAATATGCCGCTTCCTTACCTGGCTTTTAAAAAATGGCCTCAATGGCATTTATTCTACCCAGCTTTATATTAATATATACTTGTTTATCATCTGCCATCACTACTATAAAATCAATAAGAAGGTGATACTTTATTCATTTTGTTCACTATAGAATCCCCAGTGCCTAGAACAGTGTTTGGTACCTAGTAGACCCTTAAAAACATTTGCTGAATGAATAAGAATTAATGGACATGCCAGCATGAGAATTAGATGCAATAATGTGTGTAAGATGTTTAGAAAAGTTACTGGTAAATACAACTTTTCAAAAGGAATAATGTTCCTCCAAAAGCTAAACATAGAATCACTATATGACCCAGCGATTCTACTCCCATATAACCACAAGGACTGAAAGCAGGGATTTGAACAGACACTTGTACATCAGTGTTCACGGCAGCATTACTCGCAATAGCCAAAAGGTGGAAACAGCTGAAGTGCCCATCCACAGATGAATGGATAAGCAAAATGTGGCATATACATAAAGTGGGCATTACTCAGCCATGAAAAGGAATGGCGTTCTGATATATGCCACAACATAGAGGCGCCTTGAAAACATGCTGTCAGGCACAAATATATATGGTGCACGCTATGAAGTACCTAGAATAGATTTGAAGAAATAGAAAATAGATTGGAGGTTACTGGGGACCGGGGGCAGAGTACCTTCTATTTGGAATGTTAAAAAAGCTCTGGAAATACTTGCACAACACTGTGAATATAATTAGTACCACTGAATTGTATACTTAAAATTTATTAAAATAGCAAATTTTGTTACATATATTATTACCATGATGAAAACAAATAATAATGTAAATACATCAAAACACGTTAGGCCAGGCGCAGTGGCTCACACCTGTAATCCCAGAGCACTTTGGGAGGCTAAGGCAGGTGGATCACTTGAGTCCGGGAGTTCGAGACCATCGTGCCCAAGAGGGTGAAATCCCATCTCTACTAAAAATACAAAAATTAGCCCAGCGTGGTGGTGTGTGCCTGTAGTCCCAGCTACTTGGGAGGCTGAGGAAAGAGAATTACTGGAACCCAGGAGGCGGAGGCTGCAGTTAGCAGAGATCGCACCACTGCACTCCAGCCTGGGCAACAGAATGAGACTCTGCTTCAAAAAAACTCCCAAAAAACAAAAAAACAAAAACATAAAAACCCATGTTAAATGTGCACTTTAGGTGGGTTAAACTGTATGGTATGTGAGTTATCTCACAATAAAACTGTTAAAAAATAAATGAGGAAATAAAGAGGTTTTAAAAAAACCATTAAATAATAGTTATCGACTTTCTCCCCACTATCTTTTTCTTTTAAAAGATATTTTATACTTACTAAAGTTTTAATTTTGAAGATCCCTTTGAGCTTTATATAAATAAACTGAAAAAACAAACAACTATATCTCATGCTCCTAAGATGAGTTCATTCAGTCAGAGTTGTTGGTATCTTGGCTCAAACTTTCACAGGGAGCTTGGGGTGACAAAATTATGGAAGTCGGCTTCTCTGCATCTGCTAGTATGCTGGTCCTAAGGCCATCTGTAGACAGCCATTTCTAGGCCCTCAGGGTTCCTCACTATCTGGAGCCTGGTGGTCAGCTCACAGCTCTGCAGCCCAAAGACAACTGCACATCTGTGTCCTTACACTGTCATCTCCTCTTACCCTCCAAAGCCCCACAGGCATTATCAGCCCAGACAAGTGTGGACAAAACACACTGAGCCATTCCTCTCAGAGCACCTTAAGAGATTTTCAATGAATGTTCCATTTGTTCCTGCAAATACTCGGAGGCTGAATTTAGCGATGTGGGGGAAACAGTCCATCTCTACATTTGTGCATGCAAATTACATATGTCCATATACTCTGCAAATCAGGTCTAAAATTATTCTTTAATCAAAAATATGGTTCATATGTAATGTAAGAGTTTTCTAGAATTAACAAAGAAATGAGAGATACAAATTTACAACCAGAATGTTTATCCAGTGATGTTGTCCCTATGAATTTTTTTTTTTTTTTTTCCTGAGACAGAGTCTTGTTCTGTCGCCCAGGCTGGAGTGCAGTGGTGTGATCTTGGCTCACAGCAACCTCCGCCTCCCGGGTTCGAGCAATTCTCCTGCCTCAGCCTCCAAAGTAGCTGGGATCACAGGCGTGCGTCACCACGCCCAGCTAATTTTTGTATTTTTAGTAAAGACAGGGTTTCACCATGTTGGCCAGGCTGATCTTGAAGTCCTTGTGACCCTCCTGTCTCAGCCTCCCAAAGTGCTGGGATTACAGGCGTGAGCAACCATGCCCAGCCATCCCTGTGAATTTTAATAAATAGGTAAGTAAGAAGATGTGGACCAGAGAAAGCTTTCAAAGTTGAAAATAATTCAAGAATTTGCCGTATTTGAGGGCAGTATAAACATTTTTTGGTGGGAGTAAGCATATATATTATTCCCATAAAACCACCTTAGACAGTCAAAGGTTGGGCATTACCTCTGCCTTATAAAACAAGGCGGGAGAAATTCAAAACTGCAGAAATTTTGAAGTTGCCTGAAGACGTTGTCTACCAAGAGCACTTTGTGATCATGGGCTGAGGTGCATTTTATTATTATTACTATGTTTTTATTTATTTTATTTTATTTATTTATTTGATGTGGAGTCTCGCTCTTGTTTCCCAGGCTGGAGTGCAATGGCACAATCTTGGCTCACTGCAACCTCTGCCTCCCGGGTTCAAGTGATTCTCCTGCCTCAGCCTCCCAAGTAGCTGGAATTACAGGCACACGCCACCATGCCCGGCTAATTTTGTATTTTTAGTAGAGACGGGGTTTCTCCATGTTGGTCAGGCTGGTCTAGAACTCCCGACCTCAGGTGATCTGCCCACCTCAGCCCCTCAAAGTGCTGGGATTACAGGTGTGAGCCACCGCGCCTGGCAAGGCTGAGGTGCATTTTAAAATGAAGATCAGACTGCAAGTCAGATATGAAAACTGTACCTTTGGTTAGCACATGAGCAGTGTATCTCAGCCCTGATGGTCCATGGGAACCCCCGGCACTCTCAAGGTGCTAGTGGGGCTGATTTCAGTTATCTGGAGGAGACACAGGGCACAAGACCAGTCTCCTTCCACGGTAAAACAGAAAGTAGCATTCAGGGTTGGGTGTTTAACTATCTTAGATCATAGATGAAAGGTACAATTGAGTCTATCAACAAGAAAAAATGAATCTGTAAATGACTTTCATTTTAGACATCAGTAATAATTCCTTTCAAAATGTTGAAATGTTTACCTCGGGATGTTTTGGAAAACTGAGCACTTGCTCAGATGCTGAAAGTGAAAAAGGCCGCTAATGGAGTGTTGACATGGAGACCAAGCGAAGTGATGAAGCCCTGGCAGGTACTGCCGGTGGAAAGACTTCGTCAGGTTACCCTGGTTACAGGTAATCTGTTGGTACCAGCCTACATCCGCATACAGATTGATTTCTTAAATTACAAAGAGCTGGCAAATTTGTAAATAAAACAAAATAAGGTCTATTTTGTCAACTTAAACAGCCATTTTCTTGCTATGTCAGATATAGCTTACTGGTGATATTGATAATAATGGAAACATGATAAGATAATTCATTAAATGCTTTCTATTGCCTAGAACCAATCTCTCCTCATACATCACTTTCTAATCCTGCCAAATTGTTTACTAGTAAGGAAAGTGTCCCAGAGACAGTAATTTGCCCAAAGTTACACAGCTCAAAATCAGCAAAGGTCTTTTGGGCCCACACTTCAGGTTTTTGCACTAGCCATGCTCTACTTGCTTTGAATGTCATGAAAAGATTCTGCCATATCCAGTATCTCTCTAATAGATTACTCTATTTTCCATTCTTCCCTCTGATTGGCCTCACTGATGTGTTATCCAATTTACAGTAACAAACTATAGGAACTATGACCTTTAACGTATTCTCACTCTTTGCATTGCCCAGTGTTCAGTAACTAAAGTTAATTTTCTCCCTCTATAATCAAGATGTGCTTGACTGTGGAAACAGGAGGATGGGTCACCTACTTGACTGCTTACCAGTGAAATATTAGATACCAGATTAGCACAAGAGACCCCTAAAAGTCTCTTCTGTGTCTGAGAGAATTTGGTACTTCTTCTTTAGATAAACATTAATTTAGAACATTTAATAGTACTGAAGAGTATAAAAAATAAGAACAGTAGTCCCCGCTTCTTCCAAGGCCCAATGATACCTCTACCAGAAAGATGGACTTCCTTGTGTGTATGAAAATACCACAAAGCGAGATCACACTACATATGTCGAACTGTAACTTGATGTTTTCTAAAAATATGTGATAGATGTGTCTTGATATCGACACTTCTGGGTCTGTTTCCTTCTTTTTTAATGACTG